AAAAAAAAATTAAAAAGAATATGGTTTTGTCTTTCAGAATGAAAAGGAAAAGAAAAAATGACATTTTAACTAGAAAAATTTATAAGTCGAAGTAGTTGTGTTTTTATCTTACGTGTAAGTATTTAATTAGTTAGATAATATTGTTGAATTGCCAATTAAAATCGATGTAGAATTTTTTTTTGAAGAGGTTTAATCTTTCACACGAACATATTGATTTAAACTATTGTTCATATGATAAATTTTTTATATTAAATTATGGTTCAAATCTCAACCAATAAGTTTTTTGCACTTGTAAGACCTAAGGGATTCAAATTTTTTTCTTTTTTAAAGTATTTGAGCCTAATTACAACAAGAGAGTAGAGTAGCCTCCTATTTATATAATAAGGATCAATTCGAGTTCATCGTGATACTCTCATTTATATAATAAGGATCAATTCAGTTCATCGTGATAATACGATCTTCTTTCCTATTCCATTAATTATTAATTACTAACACTAATCTCTTAACGTTTAATAACCGTGTAGGCTGCAGTTTCTCTATCCATGGCAAAAAAAAAGTCTCAATTATGATAGTTTTTAGTTATAATTATATAATAAAGAAAGATTATCGTTTATTATGATATGAAATTCAAGGAAAGATTATCATTTATTATGAAATTCAAGGTGGACATAACCTTTCAATAAGAAAAATAAAATTTTCCGATAAAATTTGAAACAAATCATTCTATTTGCATTGATATATTCAAATGAAAATTTCTTTACCTTTTTCATCTCTTTCAAAAAAAAAAAAAAAGAATTCAGAACAATAATTAACATGAAAACTAAACTTACTACCACATAGATAATTAATTGGATTAGTTCGAACAGTACAGAAATGAACATTCCACCCAACTCATCATTACAAACCACAGTGCAACAATACTATATTAGTTGGTTGAATTTTTGGCTTCCTTTGCAAGAACTTTTTACAACTCCCTCATAAAAACGGAGTAAAATATAATTTAGTCCCTCTTGTTTGGAGAAACAAATTATTTAGTTTTTTTTATTTCAAAAACTAATCATTTAGTTTCTCATGTTAAAATTCTTAATATAATCGTTTGATTTATAGCTGATACCAAAAATACCATTTGAATATATAAACTCATATTAGAAATGAAACAAACACACATTTTTATCTCCATCGTAAGCATGAAACAAACACACTCTTTTAGCTCTCGAAAATTGTTGTATTTAATCTTCATATTCGTTCATGTCCTTGTTTAATCTTTATACGTGTTTTTGTTCTTACCCTTGGTTTTGTTGTTATGACGCTCTCTCTTAGTCTCTTGCAATCTTTTCATTTTTCTCTTCAAATTATTCTTACTCGGTTTACACAATTACAAATATTTTTTGTTTTTCTCTCTAGTGTGCATTTTACTATGACAAATTAAATTCTAATTCAAATCTCAATTCTTCACTACAATTAAGATAATCAAAAACATCATCATCACTATACTCCGCCCCATACCAAAACCCATAACAGACTTTCACTTGCCCAACTAATGCTGCAATTCTTTCCATCTTGCACCAATCATCTTATTCTCATTTTTTAGGACTCTTATTTCATCTCTTAGCTTGGTAATTTTGTTTAAAACAAGTGTTCTTGTAGGTTGGTTAACCTCTCCATTACTTTGGCTATTCAAGCCACCATAAGTAAGTATCCTTCGACCAAGCCAATGCCCACATGCTGATACGGAACAAGCATAATACAATTTGTATTTATTTAGTTGTAACTTCGAAATCTTGACGGTTGCTATCTTTCCACAATTATAATTGATATTAAAAAATCGTCCACCATCATTGTCACTCTCAATTTCACTTTTACCCGACATTATTGATTACGATATATATACAAAGAGAAGCTAAATTCAAAAAAGATAGAAGAAGACAGGTGAATGATTAGAAAAGAAAAGCCGCAAAATAAAGAAAATAGAAGAAGACCATGAATGAGAAGAGAAAAGAGAAGATGCAAAATTAAGGAAATAGAAAAAGATGGTCAATAAAAAGAAATGAAAGAAAATAGAAGAAGAAGAGAAAAAGAGACACAATTTAGAATTTGTCATTATAAGAGGAAGAGAATAAGAGAAACATAATTTAGTTTTATATACGACCAAAAGAACTATTTGAGAATAAAACATATTCAAGTAAAAACATCTTATCATTTTATTAACAATCAACGGACAGAAAAATAAAGTTATTAACAGAATATAAACATAAGAAACTAACTGATTAGTTTTTAAAATCAGAGAGGTTGAATAATTTTTTTCTCCAAACGAGAGGACTAAATTATATTTTACTCCGTAAAAACGCAACACCAATTTTATTTTTTAATTTTTTCAAATGGCGACAACTCCATCTGTCTGTAAAATGAATGTTCATTGTTGTTTTGGTTCTCTACATGAATACATGGTTAAATGCGGCCAACGGAATGCACGTGTAGGCAAACTATGGGCTTTGTGAGCAAAACAATATGCTGGCATATAATATTAATGTTGTTGATATCTAATAAAGACAGCTAATTATGCTACAAAAATTAGCCGAACTGCAATTAAACTTACAATATCTAGATCAAACAAACTAAGGCTAAGTCTGGCTGGATCATCATCATTATTATTTTTTACAGGAATAGGACAAGATTAACCCAATATATAATCTCCATTTTCAAGAGTTATTTTTCAAAATTAAAAAAAAATTAATGTAAAAGGATCGTATTGAAAAAATATCAAGAATACAAGACGAAATATGCTATTAGTCTAATATATAATCTCTATTTTTTAAAAAATATTTTTTAAAATTAAAAAATTAAGAAAATATTAAAAATACAGAGTTGAAATATGTGAATATTACAATATATAATCTCTATTTTCATTTTTTTTATCTCTATGTTATCTCAGATTTAAAAATTTAAATTAATTATTCGTTATTTAACTAGATGTATAAGATAAAAACAACTATAAAATTTTTTTATGCTTCTATAAAAATTTAAAATCAAAACCACATGTAAACAAATAGAAATCCTCCTATTTCATTTCATCTCTTTGATACGTGGAGGGCATGTGAGGCCATCATTTATGGCTAGAATTTAACTATTTCAACTTGGTTTGTCAAATTATACAATAATATCATCATACCATGTTCTTATTTTTTAAGCTTCTAACATTAGACTTAAATACTCATAATCTCCAACAACTTGGTAATACTAAAATAAAGGTCAATTGTCAATCATTTTCAAGTATTATCCATTTGTATACAAAATCTCCTTCAAATACGTGACATTAAAGAATCTGGCTACTGCAATATCATTGTCACAGCTGTCATGTTTCCCATAAACAACTCTACAACATTAATCTTTTTTTTTCTTTTCACCTTGGAATTCTCAACAGCTCAAGATAATGTCTCTTGTTTGGGTGTTTTAGATGAATATTAAATCTTGATACTCTACAGGAGGCAAGAGGTAATATCTAGCCAAAAGGCTACTGAAACCATGACTGTGCTGAGACTAGCTAGGCCACGAGGAAGCAGAACATTACCCTCTCTTTACTGGCTAAAAAACTTTATTCACAGTAAATTTACTGTTGAGAGTGTTAAAAAAAATATTAAGGCATTGATTTGGATCTGCTTGTTGAATCTTGATACTCTACAGGAGGCAAGATGGCTAAAGTTCAAACAATTTCATAATTGAAACTTGCCATTTTTTTTATGGGAATATGTCAGTAGAGAAACAACTGTAATTAAGACAAGGTTAGAGACACGTACGAAGTAGATGCAATTTTTAAAATTTATTGTACCTTACAATATATTTTATGACAACCAATGTAGTTTGTACAAGTAGTATTTAACAGGTTATGGTTTGGCTTAAACCAGACTGGTAAGTCCAATAATGCACCGGACAAATTAGTGGCAATGACCAAAGGTATGGCTAGGGATTTAAATGGGGATTTAATTAATTTATTAAGTTGGTTGTAACAGGCCATAATTGCCTCATTTCTATCGTCATCTTCATGTCATTTATTAATTATTATTTTATTAACAACAGTAAGGAATATGAGTTTATCCCACAATTGACATTAACTTTCATCTTCCTAGAATTTTAATAACATATACTTACGCCTATAGGAAAAGATTTCAGTATCTTTTCGTAGACTTGTTACTTTTATCGATAAGATTCAATAATACGAGTTTGTTGATTTTATCCCGATGTGTCAATAAAAATTGATTTCGATATCTTATCGCGGACTTATTACTTTTATCGATAAGACTTAATTGTACGGTTTGTTATTTTTATCTTTATGTGTCAATAAAAATTGATTTCGATACCTTATTGCGGACTTGTTATTTCTATTGATGAGATTTAGTAGTGCAACATTTTGTTTCATTGATAAATAATGATAAGAGATTTTTGAGTTTGAAACTATGAAAAAAAGTCATATTTTGAACAATTTAATAGGAAAAAACTCAAACATCTTATTTGATTATTCAAAAAGTAGAGAAAATGAATGTTATTCGAAAGGTTAATAATTTCTGTTTTAACAAGTCTCTTTTCATTTGACTAGAATCATTTATGATGTTTGTAATTTCTATTGGAGTTTTGTAAAAATTATAATGATTATATATTATTTTTAATAAAAATAAAATAACATTTTTATCATACATAAACATACCCTTCCAGTGTGTAATTTTTTTCTTTTTTTATGACTAGTTGGTATATACTCATGAGGATTTATTCATCTTTCTAGTGTAATTAAAGGCAAGTTATTCAAACCAAAACTAGAAATTGACGAAAATGTTACTTTTCACGACTTGACTCAATTTTAATCTTACCTTTATCCATATGCCATATCCTCGAACTATACAGGCACTAATTAAATTGAAATTGCAATATAGTGATTAAAACTATAGGTAAATATTTTTTAAGGTAGATCAATTATAATAAACTTAAATACCTTCGATGTAGTCATGCATTTAGGCAGACATTGGTTGCAACTTGCAACTGAACTTTCCGGTGACATAGGTTTGGCATTTAACAATATTAAGGCTTGCCTGCTTGGCTTTCAAAACTGGGTAAATCACCTGGGCCAGAGAGAAAACGAGTCCTGGGGTGTCTTGACTGTCAAATAATGAAAGGTAACGAAACTTTTAGCAGTTGAAAATGAAGTCAAGTCTAAAAATTAATTAAAATTTAAAAAGAGTGACTGTCTTTTCTAGGCAAATGCAGTTGATTCGAAAAGTATAAAATATATAAAACTCCGGCAAATTAAAGCCGACTGCCAGACCACAAAGTTTACTCTCTGACATGGCTGACAAAGCAAAAAATAAAAAATAAAAATTGTGGTGGAATAATTTGATTATTGCGTATTTCTCATTTTTAATATCTGCTGAGACTATTCCATGATAAAAGAGTTGACACAAAAGATGAAGAAATTGTTATTCTTGCCGTAAGCAATGCACTAGTCCATTTCTTAGAAGGCAAGACGAATGCACCAGCTTGATTCGGTCTAAGAAATCAACAAATCACGTTGTTAAAGTCCTAATTAATAATAAGATCTCCATACAAAGATGGTCAATTTGCCACCGTTGATCTTGTAAATCAAACGTTCAAGAAACGGCACGCAGCCGTGCCGAAACGACTCTACTCGTCATATTACACGAATCACATGTTCGAAACTTCGCTGCTCGTGCGGCTATGTCGACAAGAATTGTCCACGAATTTGTAAAAATTTTCTTCTCAAGAAAATTTCTCAATTTGATTCTAAAAACATTTCATGATCATATTACACGAATCGCATGTTCGAAACTTCGCTGCTCGTGCGGCTATGTCGACAAGAATTGTCCACGAATGCTACAAATTTTCTTCGCAAGAAAATTTCTCAAGTTGATTCTAAAAACATTTCATGATCAAACAACGCATGTTCCTTCATTTGGTAGAGATTCTAGTTCGCCCATATCAAATTCGTGAAAAAAAAATAAAAACAGTCAACTATACTTTTTTCACCTCCTTGTTACTTTTTTTTCCTTGCCAACCTTCAAATTGCACCACTAAAAAATCAATATAGATATATTTATAAAAGTTTCTTTCTTTTCCAATTCATCATTAGATGCGAACCTAAAGTAACAATACAAAATTGCTTCCATTTAAATTCCTCCACTCCATGCCCGCCAACAATTTATTTATTCGGAAAAAGCTCGATGGGTAAGGGACAGTTACGACTTTACGACATAAAAAGGGCTTTTAGGATGGCAATGTGTAATTTCCAACAAAGAATCGTTACATTCTCGTACTTACATAACTGACCGTGTCCCAAAACTTTACACATGGCAGCTTCAGCAGTTGCCCAGCAACGCTGGGATCTAAACGGCTCCTTTTCTCGTCCTCTTCTCCTGTCCGCATCGCAGAATTCCAACCGTCAGATTAGAATCTACACCCCATAACTCTACCCTCTAGCTAAGCCGACCGCATCTAACCATAGTTAGCTCAAGAAACACAAAACCTAACTCCCCAAAACACCGATCGAACACCCATTATTTACATCCCTACCCTCTTCCCTCTTACCTATAAATCCAACCTTGGAGACTCGCTAGGTTTGCCAAACCCACTACCCAATACCCCCCTTTAGGGAAATACAAAAAGAAAAAAAGAAGATAAAATCCCTTACTTCTTCTTCTCTCGCTTCTCTATTAAGAAAAAATAAAAATAAAAATCAGAAGCTCTTCTTCTTCAACTATGGCTATCGCTTCTTCACAGTCAAGAAGATCGAGCGGTCCTGTCTTACGCTCTCTGTCACCAAGTGGAAGATTACAAACGCACAACAATTACAGCCTATCTTCATCTTCTTCATCTGCTTTTGCATCCTCAACAAGTTCAAGTTTTTATTCTCCACCATCCACATTTTTCCAGAATTCTCATCAACGATCAGCGTCTCCGACACGTGTCAATATTTATTCATCATCTCCTTCTTTTCGTTTCTCTATTGACCGATCTATCTCTCCTAGTCGGTCAATATCCGTTGCGAAAAAGAATCACAGCCATCCGATCTCGGCTCCGAAGAGGAGCTGTATGTGTTCTCCTACAACACACCGAGGCTCGTTCAGGTGTAGTTTGCATAAAAACACTCCGAGTCCTTCTCATTCGACGCCATTTACTCCAAACCGGTTGAATATGAGGCGGTCCGCTATGACAAATTCTCTGGTTAGAATCGGTGGTGTTGAAGGCGAGTGGGTGAAGAGAGCGTTGACAGCTTTGATTAGGCCTTCATCGCACCAGCAACGGAGGAGAGGCGCGTTCCTGCCGCGGCAGAGTCGGTTATCAATAATGTCAAAAGCGGATGATGAAATCTGTTGATTTTTCGGCGGTTTCGATTACAGGTTGGTGTTCTTGGTTTCTCTCATTTTTTTTGGCGGCCAAGGTGTGCATATCTGAGTCAACTCGCTCCGAAGCAAGTCGGATCGGCTGGGAGGAGGGCACTGAGTTCGTACTGGATGGATCTGCTATGAGTCGTAACTGCCGAGATTGGGACCGAGTCAGCTCGGACGAGTTAGATTTTGTGTTGGACTTTAGATTGGAAGAGAAAATCCTTTTGATTGTACATATCAATTCCTATGGAAGGAGATCTTCGGACTTAAATTTCTAAATCCTCAAAATTAAAAATTAAACTTAGAATTAATCCTGGGAAATTAAAATTTAATCCTTATAATTAAGGATTTAATCAATTTGATTCCAAAATTTTCCCAAGTTCGATACCGTAGCGTTTGTGGTGTTTGCAGCGTTCTGCTTGCCGTTTACCACCGTTCCGTTCACCGTTTCCACGGGTCCGTTACTCGTCATCTGTTACGCGTGCCGTTACCATTCATCCGTTGCGTCGTGTTTGGTGCGAGGTATATTCTTTCTATTTCTGTTTTATATTTATATATATTCGTTACTATATATATATATGTTTTTTTTTAACTGGTGCAGGTATGTATTTGGCGTGGCGTTTTGTTTGGGACTTTAAATTTTGTGGACTGGCTTGAGGATTTGAAAGTTAATTTCCATTTGCTTTGCGGGACATTATCTATGGAACTGATTTAGGAGATTCCAGTGGAAATTAAGGAAGTAAATAAATAATTACGGCAGTTCTAAAATAAGTAATTATGGAAATTCTCAAAAAAAAAAAAAAGGGGCCGGTAAAAAATGTTAGGGCAAAAAGGAGAGATAGCTGGAGACAGCTGGCTCAACGTGTGCAACTAGAAAGGTTTGAAAAGGAGAATATTCTGGAAAAAATTTCAAGGAATTTTAAAAAGAAACTAATTCGGAAATTTCAAGGAAATAAGAGGAAAAATGAAATCTCTGTAATGCCCTGGCATTGAAAGATGATAATCACCTATGATTGAGTGGAAAAATCAATTTGATTAAATGAAAATTTTTTCGAGGAGATATTGAGGATAATAATTTATACTCTTCATTTTTGTAAAATTGAAGATTTGGCCAAAATCAAAAAATAATTGATGAATGGAACCTGCGCACATACCTAAAAGTCAACAATGACTTGGTGAATCAATCAGTGACATCATCTTTAAGCCGTTGGAAGAAAGGAAGAGAACATTTCTAAACGTAACGAAAGGAAAAATAAAAAAAGAAGAAAAAAGATGTGGCTGTCTTGATCCCAAAGCTTTGCAAAATATTCCTGCCTCTGCATCATCTTTGAGCCGTTGGAAGGTCCATTTCATATCATTACGTATCCAAGTGACATCGAACGTTCCAAAAAAAATTGACAGCAATGCACAGTTTAGGATTTGAGTGTGTGTATTGAAGCCACTCGATTGAGCCCATCCTCCCGTTTTCATCACCACCTGGCCAAGACAAAGTTGGTTAGTGTAATGGCTTTTTTTTTCCCCCAACCATTAATTCTTGGCCCCTTATGCAGACAGGTTCAACTTCCAAGCAACCCAAACAAAAGAACACTAACTTCTTTCTTTTAGGAAATTCAAAGCCCAAAACATGCTACAAATTTTAGCAAATTATAAATTAGTCCCTCTAGTTTCAAAAAATAAATAAATTATTTTTTAAAAAAAATTAATTTTCTTATAACTTAATTTTTTCGTTTTTTAATTTATTTTGATTTTTATTAAAAAAATAAAAAAGTGAATGAAAGAAACTAATATTTTTAAAATAAAATAATATCAAATTAAGTACGATATGTTAAAAAATTAAAAAATTAATTTTTAAAATAAAGAAATTAATAGATTCGTTTTTCGGAAATAAATGGACTTCTATAAATTTCGTCAGAGACCCATCATGGTTGGACTAGAACCTAACTAAGTTTCTTGATCTGCGGTCTAAATTGTCAGTATTTCACCTGCCACTTCGAGACTTTCCGTTTGTGATAACTTCCAGGTAACTGCCTTGATGCAGTGTCCTGTTAGATTCCTTTGGATTATAGCTTCGAAACATAACATGTGAGTGGACCATGCTTCGCAAATGGGAATGTCTCTCGAAATTGTGTTCAGGAGATAAGCATGAACTTTAGGAGCTAGTGATTTATGGCTGTGAAGTGCATGTAAACATGTGAACTGGATAAGAACTGGACAAGAGACAAATCACGAAATCTACAACTTACGTAAATTGCTCGTGTGTTCGTTGGGGACATTGAAATGTTAATGAGCAATTCGAGCAACTTTAATGTGGAGAAATTTTAATATATCGGTTCATTTTTTTTATGTATTTTGAAGTTAATTTCTTTCTGAATGTGGTTAAAATGCATTCTTCAATATTTAGGATCTCAAATATTTTGAGAATAAATTTTTAAAAATATTAATCATAAATATCAAATTCTAAACCTTACTTACAAATCAATACTTGCTTATCACTTGATTATAGTTTTATAGTTTTATTTGAGTTTTTTTTTCATATGGCGGCGGTGATTTACACGCTTCAGGGCTAGCCAGTCTTCCATACCCTTTAGCCTAGAGCCTCTTTGATGGATAAGTATGTAACGATTATGAATGATAGCTTAGATGGCGATCAGTGTTAGATTTTAGTAGCAAGTGGGAGATGGCATTAAGTAATTGAACCAACTTCACAACCTTCTTCATTATTGTAGCATTCACCCAATCAATGCTAACCCTAGCGTTTTCTCGTTAATTTCCTTTTCTGGCCTTTTTTTTTTTGGTTTGTTTGGCTCGTCTAGAAAAATAAAATATCTAAAACCCATTTAATAAAGATGCTATATATATATATATATATATATATATATATATATATATATATATCGTATGTTGAATACTGTTTATGTTTGTGTTTACGAGGAATCTAGATTAATATCTAGATTTATGTTTTATTTGTCTTTATTTTTATCTTTATCTTGTAGGGTTTAAGTTCTTGCAGAAACCGTTCATGTGAGAGTATCAGAGAGTTTAATTTGTTGTCTAATTCGATAAAAAATTCAATTCCAACAATTTTTTTTTATATACAATTATAATGTTTTAATAGTGATGTATTTGTGGCTTTTTTAGTATTCAAGAAATACTATTTTCCATTCCAAAAATAAAATTAAAAATTAGCATTCATCAATAAAAAGACCTGAATTTATTTCTCATCCCGTATGTGCAACATCAAAGCTCCAATGCTTTTACCCAAATCAAAAGAGGAAAAAAGAAAAAGAAAAAAAACAACTAATTCCATTACAGGTTCGCAAATGCATGCGAAACGAAACCATGAAAACGAGGATGTTAGGAACAAGACGAGCAAACCTCGCTGCGGTTCTCCAGTGGGACTGATTTTGTCTCGAATTCATTGCCAGTCTGGATTTTTTTTTTTTTAAATTGCAATTTCATACGTCTGTAATTTATTGCTAGTTGGATATTTTCCAGAAATTTGCGTCTTACTTCGAATTTGTAGCACAGTTTGAAAGAAAGTCCCATCTGGTGACAGAACATTTCCGTCAATGCATAGAATCTGTGCCCGCTCTGCTTGCAATCTGCATTGATTTGAAAATTACCATCAGAATGTAGAAACGGACCATACCTACAGAAACTTAAAACCCAATGCCACTTGAGCCCAGATTGAAAATCTATACTATTAATATTACAGTTTTGAATGGTGGATGGTTTTTTTTTTTTTTTTTTTTGGCTATCGTAGTCATAAATTACCGAAAATTTTATAATATTTGAAAAGTAAAAATAATAATTAATGACATGTATAGTAATTATTATATAGATTCATTTTAAAAATAAAAATAAATACATTAAAAAAAAAAATTAAAAAGAACTTGTGCTAAGTGAAAATTTCTTATCACTTTTAATAAATTTTGATGTGATTATTTCAAGAAATTTTATAATGCACGATGAGTAACTAGTGACATGTACGATAGTTACTCATTGGGTCCACTTTGAGGAGAGAAATAGACACACAAAAAGAGAGAGAAAAATAGGAGAGAGAAAATAAAAAAATTTGAGCAGACGTGAAAATCTTTTTATCACTTTTGATAGGTATAGATGTAATTTCTCTCTTTTTTATGTGTCTATTTCTCTATTCAAAATGGATACGAAGTAACTACCGTATACGCCACTAGTTACTCCTTGTATATTATAAATTTTTTCTGATTTTTTCTTTTCTACGTGTACTATTTCTCTTTTTAAAATAGATTCAGTGAAGTAACTATAAGTACATATCATTAGTTACATAAATCACCAATTATTCCTTAAATATTATAAAATTTATTAAAAATCATGATTGAATATAATATTAAAATAATAAAATATTTCTGAAATTATTATATAACAGTCATTATATAATATAAAAATCTTTATTTAAAAATATGATTAGCACTCACAAAATTATTTAAACCATTAACCATTAGCCCACTGAAAATAGGAAAACCATATAAATCACATAAACGACAAATAGTCGGCTCAACCGTTGAATTTTAAAGGACGAAACGCGTCGTCGCGCTATCTCTCAACTCTTACCATATCCTTTCCCTCCCCTGTACTCTTTCTCCTCTGCTCACTCCTCTCTTCGCCATGTCTACTACCTTAACATCTCTCAAAAAATCACGACCCTCCATCAACCACCTCTACGTAATCCAACGGCTCCAATCCCGGCACCTCTCTACTCCACCACAATCCAGTACTTCTCTCCCTCTAATCGCTACCTCCACGTCCAATACTGACAATCGCACAAACAAAACTCTTTCTAGATTGTTCTCCGGCCTCGCTGCAGGCGCCACTTTTGGCTTACTATACTGTTCAGTGAACGATTCTGACACGACACCGTTTTTCTCCTTCGCTGACTGGTCAACGGACAATGATCGGCGCTCGATTTCTTTATTTCCCAAACTATCCTTACCTGATTACACCTCTAGTTACATTTTTGGAGGTAATGTTTTTCGTTAATTGATTAACTCGCTATTAATTAATCAATTAATTAAGTAGTCGTGTTTTGATTTGCTTTTTTTTTTTTCTTTAATTCGTTGTTGTAGATGCGTTTAGGAGAAAGATTTTCTTCAATTACGAGAAGCGAATAAGATTAAGGAGTCCTCCTGAGAAGGTAATTTACATTATAAAAAATGTGATTGATGTTTGATTAAGAGTGATTATTTTTTAAACACTAAAATTTGTGAAAATGAATTTTTTTTTCTGTTTTGTCTAAGGTTTTTGAGTACTTTGCGTCTGTTAGAACACCAGATGGTGAGATGCTTATGAAACCGGCAGATTTAATGCGAGCGGTTGTTCCGGTTTTCCCTCCATCTGAATCCCATGTTGTTAGAGATGGATACTTGATAGGGGAAAGGAATCCCGGCGAGTTAAGATGCGATCCTTCGGAATTTTTCATGCTATTTGATGTGAATAACGATGGCCTTATATCTTTTAAAGAGTGAGTAGCTGACGTGTACTCGTTGTTTCTTTCCTTGTACAAGCAATTTTAGCATTAAAAATGCATGTTCAGTTGGTGCATTGTGTTTTCTTGGTTGTTTGTAGGGTATGGCTAATTTTTGTTTTCTCCTACAGGTACATCTTTTTTGTTACGCTTCTCAGTATCCCGGAATCAAGCTTTACTGTCGCTTTCAAAATGTTTGACATTGACAATGATGGGTATGTATGTATTGGAAGCTCCGATAATTAGAGAGATAGCCTTTTGCTGTATTCAATGCATTAATGGGCTTATTGAAATCTAATTTGTGTAGTTTAATAGTCTGGGTGCTTTTTTGAGCTTTGGTGTGTGCTGATCATTGAAAAGGATTGTCCTTATGGTTATTGTCTTGACCTTTTTGGGATATTGTATATAGGGAAATAGAAAAGGAAGAGTTTAAGAAAGTGATGGCATTGATGCGAGCTCATAACAGACAAGGGGCTGTCCACAGGGATGGTCTTCGAACGGGGTTGAAAATTCATGGTTCTGTGGAAAATGGAGGTTTGGTGGAGGACTTCTTTGGCAAAGATGGAAAGGCACGCCTCCAACTTGATAAATTTGTTCAATTTATGAGACGTTTGCACGATGAGGTAAACCTCTACCTCCTTCTTCTTTCCATAAAAGATGGATTGGATCACGTTACTGCTTTTGGTATTGCTATTGCTGTAATGATGAAATGGACATTCCAAGAAATTTTCTTGGCAGTATGCATCCATGTCCACTATAACAATTTGCACTTTCTTTTTATCCCATGGCTTTCTTGAATTTTGGCAAACTTGTGCTCCATCATTAAGATCTCTTAACAAAACGGAATCAAAATTTGATGCAACTATGAGCAGTAGCAACCAGAATTTGAATATCACCCCTTGATCCACCCAGGGAAATCTGATGTGTTGGAAATATCTAGTGTGGCCATAGTGATAATCTATGGCAGTCATTATGTATTTAAATCAGTTTTAATTGCTCACATGGTACTACCCTTTCAGTGTTTGAAATTTTAGTAAATTTGGTTGTTAGTGTGCTAGCAATGATCATCCCAGAAACAGAGAGAAAATGCTATTTTGATGAAGTTAAATCAGATTAAAAGGGAAAAAAGAAGCAGACTTCCTGCTGAGCATCTAAGCTTCTTTTAATCTTTCAAGTTCTTTATTTACCATAATTGTAGTGATTAGAGAGCTCAATGAAATTGTTCCACTTTTTAGAATGTTGTTGGTGCAATTCCTATTGGTCTTTCAAGTGGGAAAAGAAAGGATGGGTAGGACAGTTGTTTAGAGAGCTTCAATGAATGCGTTCCGGTTTTAGAATGTTCAGTTCATGTATGCTAAACCAAAAACGTTTCATGCTTTGGAAGGAAATTTAGATGGTATGCTGAATTTCTTGCATCACATTCATGATAATCTTGTTTGCTTGTCAGGTTTGACTTGGTCAGCATGCTAATACCCTCCTTTCCCCAACCTCTCTAGGCACACACTAAGCTCCTGCAGGGGCGGGGACAGGCTAGTGAAAGTTTGATTTTGTGTGGTATGAATGGCAAGTTAATCATGTGTGTGAAATAGACAAATTTTATGTTGCATTCATCCTTAAGACTGTTATTGTTTTCTGCAGATGTTGAGATTGGAATTTGCACATTATGATTACAAATTAAGAGGAACCATATCTGCTAAAGATTTTGCGCTATCCATGGTTGCTTCTGCTGACCTGAGTCATTTAGGCAAGTTGCTTGATCGGGTTGATGAACTACATGATCGAGCCAACCTCAGTGGCTTACGCATAACATTAGAGGAGTTTAAAAGCTTTGCAGAGTTGCGTAAAAAGTTGCAGCCGTTTTCTTTGGCCCTCTTTAGTTACGGCAAAGTAAATGGCCTATTAACGAAGGAGGACTTCCAAAGAGCTGCTTCCCATGTAAGACACTTGACCTTGCTTAATTTTATTTTGTCCCCTCCCATTACTTTTGGGTACTGTTGTGTTCAAAAAGTATGCATGTATGGTCATGTAGACTAGCAGATGGTTATTAGAATGGATAGTCTAGTGGCTTCTGTTCACAGTATTACAGCATTTTAAGAAGCTGTCATTTGACTGTGTGTAAAGCTTCTACTGGTTGATGAGTTGGAAAATAATTAGGTGGAGAGTGTTTATACAGTAGCAGAGCTAGGAGCTTTATGGCGGGGGGACGGATGAATGTGCTAAGCTGGATAAAGTCATTCACGTACACACAATACTACATGGTTCAAAGTTGCATATAATGAGTAACTTTTTTATTTTGATGGGGCTGTTTTTGTTTAAAAATGGAAAAAATATTTTCAAAACACATTAAACTTATGGAAGTTTTTTGAACTTTTTGGGTTTCTTTTATTTTAATTTTTCTTTTTGGTTCATTGGGAGAATTGTTGAGCCTTGAGTTACATACACAATGAAAGGCAGCCCTCCTATCTCCCTTCTTGTTCTAGGTGCGAACTGGGTTAATCCCATGTCATTTGGTAGCACCAAGTAACTTGCAAGTTAACTAATTTTTTGTTTATTATGGGGTCAATGATTATGCTTTTCTGATATTTTGGGTGTTTTACGTCTTTCAAACTTGTATTCCTGGATCATTGGAAGTTAACTTTCTTTTGCTACATGATATCTATGCAAATATCAGGTTTGTGGAGTCTCCCTCAGCGACAGTGTGGTTGAGATCATTTTCCATGTGTTTGACTCAAATCGTGATGGAAGTCTAAGTGCAGATGAGTTTGTAAGAGTTTTACGCAAACGTGAAAGGGACATTGCACAACCAGTGGAATCAGGACCCCTGGGATTTTTGTCTTGCTGCGCAAAGTGTGCAGATAACAACTCCATTGAACGGTTCCTTTCTTAATCTACATCTTGGTCCAGGACCCCTGAAGTGCACAGGAGGATGCTTTTGTATGTGTTGCAAAATTGTCTGGAACTCCTTTTGGATATATGTTGCAGTTGAAGAATGCAATTAGGAATTCTAACAAGTTGGCACTATCGATCCTTTTCTAACTTTTTGAAAATTAGAAAGGAGTTTTTGCTGAAGATGTAGAGAATTTGCCACTTCTTACCGTTGCCACTCTTAACCTTGTGCAATATTAGTTGCCACGGAAAAGTTGTACAGTTTATACGTCTGCAAGCTCCTTCCAGTAATTTTGTGAACATCCCCGAAGGGATGAATGTTTCCTGTAGAAGGCAGCTGGCATGAACTTACTAAAGTTTTACTATGATATATGAAAGTAGTTGATATATATATATGAAAATTTAGGATCTGTTGAACATTTTGTATGGAATTTTGCAAAGTGAACTGTGTTTTTTTTATTAACTAAATTACTGTTTTTTATTCTCGTTTTTTGTTAAAATTACATTTTGACTGGTGCTGAGAATGTATTGAAGAATATACTAATCACTGGATATGTCATTTACGCAGCATCTTGATTCTTAATTACCAAAGTACAGTTTGTGAGCAATGGAACTCAGGGAAGTAATGTGGTCATTCAACGTACAAAGAGCCCTGACCACTTTTGCAATAATAAAGGTGCTAGATACTTGCCAACGCACGCCACTAATTGTCCGTAATACATGAAAGGCTAACCTTAATCAACCATGCCAGGAATTCTGTTGATTATCTAAGATTGAATCGAAAATTAGAAACTAATCTGATTCGGAAACGGAAAAAAAAAAAAAATTGGAGCTGCGTTGTCATAATCTAAGCTATCATAGAACTCCAAACTCCAAAGATGTTTAAACGTATCAAAACAAGGTTACAAAGAATCGAGAAATAGCTGGTTGCAATGCAACTATAAACGATGACTGATTGTTGCAATTCTTAAAGAAATCATCATTGACAGCACTTAGTCCAATCTTCAAACTGATAATTAGCACCTGTAGGGAGCAATGAGAGTCTCATCCGATCAGGCCTACAGTTGCCAACTCTCCAACCAAATCCATGAAACGATAATCAGCACCTGAATCAAGTTGCTTGGCATTGCAGTCCCCATCAATAACATAATGTTGGTTAGTATCCCCAAAGTCAGAATCTGGTGTAGTATTATAAGTTACACAATCAACAAACTTCATGTTCTTGAAGGATTCTAAACCCAAATGGGTAGCAGGAAATACATTATCACCATTCTCTAGTGAGCCTGAAGTTGATTCAGAAGCAGTCCTTGAAGTTGTGCAGTCGTTACTGTTGTTATTGGAAATAACATTGTGAGAATCGGAACTGAAATCAGAAGACTCTAGGAGATTCCATATATCATCCATGTCGACTTCCCCTAGAAAATCAATACCATTATTAATAAATGAAGAATCAGTAGTCCAACATCCATCAAAATAAATTTCTTCATCTAAGGTAGAGAAAGAATCATCGCGGTGTTTAAGCTCTAAAGTCAATGAAGAATCTTCATGGGGTTCAGGCTCTAAAGCCAAAAAATCATCAGATTTTCGCTCAACTATATTGCTTATTCCAAGATTACCAGTCGAGTTATTCATCAGCTTATTCTTGGCCTGACCCAGCAAACTTTCCAGGCTTTCTACAGCATCTTTTAACTCCTGAACTGAAGTACTGGACTGCACCAGCTCCTCAATATAATCCCATGAAATCCCTTCAACGCGTCTCTTCTTGTTTTGCATGAGAGCATTAACATCACCCTCCAATGCCTTAATTTCTTCATAGATAGAGTTACTGGCTGACTTGATACCTGCATCGTTTGCTGCTGCTTCTGGTAGAGCAGAAAAATTGTTGAGGAACCTGTCGAAGACAGCATCAACCGAAGAGTGGCCAAAGGTATAAACTTTTTCTTTAGACCCAGTTGAGGTGACCATAATGGCAATTTGAGCATCACAAATCCTGCACAAGTCCGCTGCTTTGTTGAAAAGACCATGACGTCTTTTAGTAAAAGTAACAGCCCTTTGCTCTGATGTTTCGCGCTTCGCCATTGGAATTTTTCTACTTCTCCCCATGATAAACTACTGCAGCATCAATGGGTTCTTCTCTTCAGTAGATTTCTTTTGTAATAAGGTGCCTATATATAGAATGAAACTACAGACTATGCGGAGGGTTGTTCTTGTCCTTGTGAGTACAGGACTTTCCCTTGAAACAAAGGGAACAAAACCCTTGATGGCGGTGGGCCCTTGCCTTTGCCCTTGTCCTTGTGAGTATAGGACTTTTTTTAATTGGTTGTTGTGCTGATCATTGAAAAGGATTTCTCATGGTTGTTATCATGACATTTTGGGTTGTTGTTTATAGGGAAATAGAGAAGGAGTAGTTTAAGAAAGTGAAGGCATTGATGCGAGCTTATAACAGACAAGGGATGTCCACAGGGATGGACTTCGAACAGGGTTGAAAGTTCATGGTTCTGTGGAAAATGGAGGTTTGGCGGAGTGCTTCTTTGGAAAAGATGGAAAGGCAAGCCTCCAACATGATAAATTTGTTCAGTTTATGAGAGATTTGAACAAATTAGGTAAAGCTATACCTGATAAAAGATGGATTGGATCATGGTGCTGCTTCTGGTATTGCTATTGCTGTAATAACGAAATGGACATTCTATGCGATTTTCTTGGCAGTAGAAGTCCACTCCCACTATAACAATTTGCATTCTCTTTTTATCCTGTGGCTTTCTTGAGTTTTGGCAAACCTGTAGTCCAGCATTAATGGCCTCCCCCATATCAGCAGACTTCTTTCCTTTTCACTAAGCAGGAAAGCCAAATCATTATAACATAGATGATCTTCCATCAATGTTATTCATAGGATGTAATTGAAAGAAATTGAGTTTTATCATACCGGGATCTTCCTTCTCCATTTTAAGTGCATAAGAAAAATCAATTTACACAACTCAATGCTTTAATATCACTCTGTTGGAAAAAACACAGAACACCTGTACCATTGCAATCACAAGTCCCAATCTTTTTTCCTCTTTGTGCAATCAAAATAGGATCAATCACAATAATAATTAATGTTAAAGCAAATGAACTCAGTCACAAGCAACATCCGATATTTTTACTTAAAAACTCCAATGTGAAAGAAAAAAACCACGAGACCGTAGTTCATACAAAATCTTCACTATATGAATAATGAGATTTAAAGTTCTTCCTTAATCTCAATTAAGGGTATACATCAATTCATCATAAATATGGATATACTCATCGAGACATCAATATCATCATCACAAGATAGATATAAAAAATTATTAATTATTATGTCATATATATTTTTCCTTTGCACTTTTTAAAAAATTTTGTTAATTATCAAATTTAATCATCTATATTACATGAAATCAATATTAATTTAAGAAGAAAATCTATTTAAAATTAAGATGGTAAATTAACAAAAAATTATTAAATTAATTAGCGATTAAGTTTTTTAAAAAATTATTAAATTAAGATGGTAAATTAACAAATATTTGCTATCAAAATTTAGGCATGCAGTATAAAGTCCTTAAAAGATTTTAGGCTAAAATTTCCATCCATCCCAAATTTGAATTCTAAATTTTTTAGAAATATCACTTTGGGACAACTTCCAATTTGTTTTGAATATGATCCTGATATTTTGCAAACTGTCATAGATTTAGAAGAGTGGACATTTTTTATATAACTTTTTTTTAAAAAAAGACTTTTACGTAAAAAGTATTTGCACGTATGAGGAGAAAATATAAAGAATATTGATTTTTTATTGTGAAGAACACAATAAGAGAAAAAATTGATTTTTTAAACGATAAAATATTGATAAAAAAGTTTAAAATTAAAGAGTTAAAAATATTTATAAAATTTTTTATATAAAGTTTATAAAATATTTATAATATTTTATTTAAAAAATTCAAGATTAGGGTTTAAATTATTTTTTAAAAAATAATTAACAACCAAATGTCAAAACAATGTCATTTTGACATTCGAGTAACGATCAATCGATGAATCTAATGAATCGTTAAACATAACGAAAATATATTGTTTTAGTATTTCAAGTAATGATCAATCCAATTGATCGCTAAATATAATAAAAATTGGATAATTTAGAACATATATATATATATATATATATATATATATATATATATATATATATATGATATTATATATTATTTTATAATATATTAAAATTTAAATTAAGTTTCAGTCTGTCTTTTTGTATTTTTTTTCCTTCTCTGCGTCTCGCTTCTGCTCACTTTTTGTTTATTCCTTTTGTTTTTTGTTTTTGTTATTCAAATTGTTGTTAGGCCCCACGTGAGGAGGGACCCAAACGCAACATCGTCATGGTTCTTACCTTGACCTTTTGGGTTATTGTGTATAGGGAAGCAGAAAAGGAAGTGTTTAAGAAAGTGACGGCAATGTTGATGTGAGCTCATAACAGACAAGGGGCTGTCCACAGGGATGGACTTCGAACAGGGTTGAAAGTTCATGGTTCTGTGGAAAATGGAGGTTTGGTGAAGTGCTTCTTTGGAAAAGATGGAAAGGCAAGCCTCGAACATGATAGATTTGTTCAATTTATGAGAGATTTGAACAATGAGGAGGTAACCCTCTACCTTCTTTTTCCTTGATAAAAGATGGATTGGATCATGTTGCTGCTTTTGCTATTGCTATTGCTGTTACTGTAATAACGAAATGGACATTCTACGCGATTTTCTTGGCAGTACAAGTCCATGCCCACCACAACAATTTGCACCTTCTTTTTATCCTATGGCTTTCTTGAGTTTTGGCAAACCTGTAGTCGAGCATTAAGATCTCTTGTGCAAACGGCATCAAAGTTTGATGCAAGTAGCAGGGGCAGTAGCAATTAGAATTTGAATATGATCCCTTGATCCACCCAGGGAAATCTGAAATTTTGCAGAGTCGCTCAAAAAGTTGTTGCCATTTTCTTTGGCCCTCTTTAGTGACGGCAAAGTAAATGGCCTATCAACGAAGGAGGACTTCCAAAGAGCTGCATCCCATGTAAGACACTTGATCTTGCTTAATTTTATTTTGTCTGGCCCCTGTGACTGCAGATGAGTAGCTATTATTTTGGGTGTGCTTTTGTGTTCGAAAAGAGTAGCAGATGGTTATTAGAATGGGTGGTCTAGTTGCTTCCGTGCACGCTATTACAGCATTTTCAAGCAGGTTTCATTTGACATGTGTAAAGCTTCTACTGGTTGATGAGTTGGAAAATAATTAGGTGCAGAGTTAGGAGTTTTATGTTGGAGGGACGGATGAATATGCTAAGATGGACAGAGTCTCTCACGTATATTCAATGCATGGTTCAAAGTTGCATATAAGGGCTAATGAGTGACTTTTCGATTTTGATGGACAGTGTCATGTGATTACTTTTGTCTTTCTGCTTTATTTTTTTCTTAAACATTCCTTTCTTAATCTACGAAGGGAACTATGCTCTTCTTCTAGCTAAATTACTCTTTCTGGTTCTCATTTTTTGTTAGAAATTACTTCTGAACTGGATTGACCATGCTGAGAATGCATTGAAGAATATGCTATCGGAATATATATGTCATGTACACAGCATCTTGATCTCAATTAAGAATGTAAAATTTCAGCAATGGAATTCAGGGGAACAATGTGGTCATTCGCCATAAATATAAACTTACTACTGACAGAAATTTCGAAAAATGTTAAAACTCATGGCCTATATTATATGAAAGGCTGACCTTAATCAACCATAGCAGGAATCTGTTGATTATTTAAGATGTAATCGAAAATTAGAAATCAATCTGATCAGGAAAAAAAGAAAGAAAGAAGAGAGCACTCCCTTGTCATAATCCAATTCAATATTATAAAACTCCAGAAAATTTTAAACGCATCAAAACAAGGTTACAAAGAATCTAGAAATAGTAGGTTGCAATGCAACTATCAACGATGATTAATTGTTGCAATTCTCAAAGAAATCAACATTGATAGTACTTAGTCTTCAAACTGATAATTAGGACCTGCTAATGAGCAATGGGAGTCGCATCTGATCAGTCATACAGTTGCCAAACTCACCAAAGAAATCCATGAAACCATAATCAGTAGCTGAATCAAGTTGCTTGGCATTGCAGTCCCCATCCATAACATAATGTTGGTTAGTATCCCCAAAGTCAGAATCTGGTGTAGCATTATAAGTTACACTATCAACCAACTTCTTGTTCTTGAAAGTTTCTAAATCCAAATTGGTAGCAGGAAATACATTACCACCATTCTCTAGTGAGCCAGAAGCAGATTCAGAGACAGTCCTTGAAGTTGCGCAGTCGTTACTGTTGTTATTGGAAATAACATTGTGAGAATCGGAACCGAAATCAGAAGACTCAAGGAGATTCCATATATCATCCATGTCGACTTCGCCTGGAAAATAAACTCCATTATTACTAGGAGAACCATCAGTAGTACTCCAACATCCATCAAAATAAATTTCTTCATCTAAGCTAGAGAAAGAATCATCACGGTGTTTAAGCTCGAAAGTCAACGAAGAATCATCATGCGGTTCAAGCTCTAAAGCCAAAAAATCATCAGATTTTCGCTCAACTATATTGCTTATACCAAGATTACCAGTCGAGTTATTCATCAACTTATTCTTGGCATGACCCAACAAACTTTCCAGGCTTTCTACAGCATCTTCTAACTCCTGAACTGAAGTACTCGACTGCACAAGCTCCTCAATATAATCCCATGAAATCCCTTCAACGCGTCTCTTCTTGTTTTGCATGAGAGCATTAACATCACCCTCCAATGCCTTAATTTCTTCATAGATAGAGTTACTGGCTGACTTGATACCTGCATCGTTTGCTGCTGCTTCTGGTAGAGCAGAAAAATTGTTGAGGAACCTGTCGAAGACAGCATCAACCGAAGAGTGGCCAAAGGTATAAACTTTTTCTTTAGACCCAGTTGAGGTGACCATAATGGCAATTTGAGCATCGCAGATCCTGCACAAGTCTGCTGCTTTGTTGAAAAGACCATGACGTCTTTTAGTAAAAGTAACAGCCCTTTGCTCTGATGTTTCGCGCTTCGCCATTGGAATTTTTCTACTTCTCCCCATGATAAACTACTGCAGCATCAATGGGTTCTTCTCTTCAGTAGATTTCTTTTTTGTAATAATGTGCCTATATATAGAATGAAACTACATACTATGCGGAGGGTTGTTCTTGTCCCTGTGAGTACAGGACTCTTCCTTGAAACGAAGGGAACAAAACCCTTGATGGCGGTGGGCCCTTGCCCTTGTCCTTGTGAGTATAGGACTTTTTTTAATTGGTTATCGTGTTGATCATTGAAAAGGATTTCTCATGGTTGTTATCTTGACATTTTGAGTTGTTTTTTATAGGGAAATAGAGGAGTAGTTTAAGAATGTGAAGGCATTGATGCGAGCTCATAATAGACAAGGGATGTCTACAGGGATGGACTTCGAACAGGGTTGAAAGTTCATGGTTCTGTGGAAAATGGAGGTTTGGTGGAGTGCTTCTTTGGAAAAGATGGAAAGGAAAGCCTCCAACATGATAAATTTGTTCAGTTTATGAGAGAACTAACACCAAGAGCCGCTTGACCATTGCCACTGCCAACATCCCAAGCTAAAGAGTGGTGAGGGGTGAGAGCAGCCAACATTGAAAACCATTCGCTTGGATATCTTGGCCTTGCATCCACATACGTAGCTGCCTGCTTGTCAAACAAACCTGCCATGTTTAATCTTGTGAATTCTGATAGTTTATGTGCCTATGAATGTTTTGAAGGCTGAGTTAAGGACTATTGTATACATTATGGCATTCTGGGTTTACAAGAAAGCCAAATTAACCTATTTAAGAGAGACCTGCAATTTGGAGGATTAAAAAATGAGTAGTATGTCTGCTTCTTCTTGTACCTTGTGAACAAATGATATTCCCCAAGTATTCAGCAGGATTGATCATATTTCAGGGAAAAGGATAGGTGACGGCAGGATGACACTCTAATGTGCAAAAACAAGGAAATAATATTTAATTAGCTGTAATTAAGAGAACTTGTGAGTCAAGGAGAGTGCAAGTTGACCTCTCTAGCTACCAAGAAATATCGCTCTCTACTAAAAAGATCCAAGTTTTTTTGCCAGGCTTTATTAGCAATGGTGTAGCAAGACGAGAAATCCTGTTCCAGCAACTTGTCAAATTCATAAAGGAAAGACATCTTTGACGAGGAACGTCAGCAATGCTTCCTCCAAATTCTCAACAGCCTGCCCATTCAGACACCTAACTATTCCTCATTTTGCTTTCCACAGAAAGAGATTGCAAACTCCGTTAGGGGTGTATTTCGGGTTCAAAGAACAGGTACTAGTTCTTGGCACTCCTTTCCCGTTAGTTACCGATCTTGTCAAGCTAACATAGACATGTTTTCCGTCTGATAAGCAGAGGTGTTTTTCGCTTCAAGTACTCTGGATGAGTAGCTATTGTTAAACAACATCCCTCGGCTCCACTGGACAGTTCCTTTCTTAATCTGCAAAGGGAAGTATCTTCTTCTCGTAGCTAAATTACTCTTTCTAGTTCTCATATTTTGTTAGAAATTACTTCTTAACTGGATTGAGCATGCTGAGAATGTCATTGAAGAATATATTTTGTTAGAAATTACTTCTTAACAATGTGGTCATTCGCCGTAAAAAAAATTGCTTGAAGGCCATGCAGACTTTTGTAATAATACTCGTCAACACACACTAACACGACAGGAAACTTGCCTTGGCGATGATAGAGAAAAAGAAAAACCTTACTACTGACAGCAATCTCACAAAAATATAAAACTCATGGCCTATAATATATGAAAGGCTAACCTTAATCAACCACACCACGAATTCTGTGGATTATTTAAGATGTAATCGAAAAGTATTAGAAACTAATCTGATCAGACAAAAAAAAAAAAAAAGGAAGCCTTGTCGTAACCCAAGTCAATATTATAACTCCAAAAATGTATAAACGTATCAGAACAAGGTTACAAATAATCTAGAAATAGTAGGTTGCAATCCAACTATCGACGATGATTGATAGTTGCAATTCTCAAAGAAATCATCTTTGATAGCACTTAGTCCAATCTTCAAACGGTTAATTAGCATCTGTAGTGAGCAGTGGGAGTCCCATCTGATCAGTCATACAGTTGCCATACTCACCAACCAAATCCATGAAACCATAATTAGCAGCTGAATCCTGTTGCTTGGCATTGCAGTCCCCATCCATAACACAATGTCGGTTAATGCCCCCAAAGCCAGAATCTGGTGTGGTGCTTTTTTTAATATCCCTAAAGTCAGAATCCGGTGTGGTGTTATAAGTTCCCCAATCAACAAACGTCATGTCCTTGAAGAAGAATTCTGAATCCAAATCGGTAGTAGGAAATACATAATCACCATTCTCTTGTGAGACTGAAGCTGATTTAGAGGCAGTCCCTGAAGTAGTGCGGTCATTACTGTTACTGGAACGAACATGGTCAGAATTGGAATTGGAACTGGAATCAGAATACCTAAGGAGATTCCATATAGGATCCATGTCGACTTCCCCTAGAAAATCAATACCATTATTAATAGATGAACAACCAGTAGTCCGACCGATTTCATCACCTAAGCTAGGTGAAGAATCATCATGGGGTTTAAGCTCTAAAGCCAAAAAATCAACAGATTTTGGCTCAACAATATTGCTCACGCCAAGATTACCAGTCAAGTTATTCATCAGCTTATTCCTGGCCTGACGCAACAAACACTCCAGGCTTTCAACAACATCCTTTAACTCCTGATCTAAATTACTCGATCGCACAAACTCCTCAAAAGAATCCCATGAAATCCCTCCAACGTGTCTCTTCTTGTTTTGCATGAGAGTATTGACATCACCCTCCAATGTCTTAATTTCTTCATAGATGGAATTGCTGGCTGACTTGATGCCTGCATCGCTTACTCCTGCTTCTGGGCCAGCAGGAAAATTGTGGAGGAACCTGTCGAAGGCAGCATCAACCGAAGGGTGGCCAAAGGTATAAAATTTTTCTTTGCATCCAGTTGAGGAGACCGTAATGGCAATTTGAGCATCACAAATCCTGCACAAATCTGCTGCTTTGTTGAAAAGACCATGACGTCTTTTAGTAAAAGTAACCGCCATTTGCTCTGAAGTTTCGCGCTTCGCCATTGGAATTTTCTAGTTCTCCCCATGATAAACTACTGCAACATCAATGGATTCTTCTATTCAGCAGAGTTCTTTTTGTCCTAACGTGCCTATATCTTGAAGGAAACTAGAGAATATTCGGTGGTGTGCCCTTGTCCATGCGAGCGAAGGACTTTCTTCCTTGAAACAAAAGAAACAAAACCCTCACGTCACGGGCTGTGGGCCAAGGGCCTTGGCCCAAAACAATTCCAAAATATATAATTGGGTTCTATTTATCTTTTTTTACACATGGGCTAAATAATTTGCAAACACTTTGTTGACAAATTAACAGAGAGCAAACCGACAAACCTAATTGGGTAATTTTCTTTTATTTTTTTATTTTTTTATCCCTTTCTTTTCACCAAGTTGAAACGTGCTTGCTTGCTTGATGTTTAACATAAGCAGTCTGATTTTACACTTTTGTCTTTTATGTTTATCAATTTCCTTATGGAGTGAGTTTTATAGGAAAAATTCTAAACTAGATATGAATTTGTAATTCAAGAATTGAATACATATGTCGTTAGTAAAAATAAAAAATAAAAGAAATCCATATCAGCAAGTGGTTAATTTTTTTTAATAAAAAGCTGCTATTACTATTATTATTATTATTATTATTCTGGCCAATCAAATCATGTTTTTCTATAAATAATTTTTTCTAATTTTCGTATTGCCCCATGATCAATGAACTTTTTAGTTAAATCATTTGAATTAACCAATTAGGACCAGTAAAAAAACTCGTTTTTTGTTATTTTTAAAGTAGTATGAAATTTCTAAATACGTAATCACGAAGGAGTAAATGTGCAATGTGTTAATAATATCTTGTTTTTTTAATTTTTAAAGATAATGCAATATTTTTGAATTAGTCTTTATATCAATTGAGATTAAGTTTATTACTTCTTAAACTAAGCTAAGGTCAGAATATGTATACTTATCTTTTGATGAACTATCAAAGTGTCTTTTGAATCAAACCAGCCTAGACTTGATGTCAATAAAAAATAATTATAATTATTTATTCTTAATTAATGAGATTCAAACCTTAATATTTATCAAATCAAAGCAATCATTTACTCCTGCATCACATTCCTTTATTGTTGTTAATGATGGCTGTTATCACCCGTTCAAAAATAATTGATTTATTGATTAAAGAGGTGGATTTTCATTTATTTTGATTATGTTATTTATTTTTGACAAGCAGACTATTCAAATTATTGAAACTAAATTATTCTAAAAAATAATTGTATTAAACTCATTAAAATAATTTTCATGAACAACAATAACGAGAAAAAAAACACAATTTTATGAACAACATAGAAAAACTATAAAGTGAAACCTCTATGGGATTTGAAAAATGGATCCTTAAAATTGAATTTTTAACTTGTAGATTGACAAACCAATTGATAATTTTCTTCGTATTTACAACTTTCAAAAATAATTATTTTCAAGAATGATCGCTAGTCTTTCATGTAGGACTTCAGTTTTGGTCGGTACCTTCTAATTGCAGACCTAGGGATAAGTTAGAAGGTTAAGGAAGTTTATTTCTTTTTTTGATGTCTTGAGTTCAAAACTGAGATCGACATCTAACTAATTTATTTTTTTGAATGCATTAAACTAGCATTAGAGATGTACGATTAAAATTACGAGAGAAAAAAATTTAAACTCAATCGATACATAAACGGTTTAAAAATATCCGTATTCATCCATAAAAAAAAAAAAAAAAACTTCTAATTTTTATTTTTTTCTTATTTCTTGCTTAAAAGAACACAAACCTTTTAGTTTTTTCTTCTAATATAGCAAAGAATCCATTTTTTTTATCTAATAAATTTACTTTTGGTTCAAATCAAATTTCAAAAATATCAAACAACTTATATTAGTGTTGTCTTTAAGTAGATTTCTACTCACCTTATTTTTCCAAGTTTAAAACTTTAAAATCCAAAATTTCATAACCGTACTTAAAAAATTATACAATAAAAACTGCCCACGATCTAATTAAAGAAGGAATTTGTCTCAGTACATAAACATTAAATCTAGGGTTAATACTCTCACGTATCTTTATAAAATAGATTAATTTTTCAATTTATTTTTTTAAAAAAATCTCTAATTTGTCCTTATATTTTGAACTAGTTTTTATCTATCCTTTTAGTGAAAATTTCAATCCAAATTAAACATGTAATTTACACATGGTATATGATTTGATAAAATTATCTTTGTTATTTAGTACAAGTGATCTATATCTAATAATATGAAAATTAATTTAAAAATTTTGACAAAAAAATAGATTTCTGATTATTGGTCAAGGTATTAATCCTTAAATCTAATCATTTTTTAAAACCAAAACGAATGGCATTAGGCATTCTAACAAACTGGAGGCTACCATTACTTTCCCTAATTTATGCAAACAGAGATTGCCGCTTCTTTCTGCTCTCACCCTAACCAACCTCTTGGCCATATATTCCTGAGCAATGCCTGTTTCCATGGAAAAGCTGTACAATTCATTTTCTTTTATGCAGTATTAAAATTTTGGTCTATGAAGACTGAATATTTTGATGAAATTTCATCACTTTCGTCGGTGCAATTTGAACTTTCACTTCAAATTTTTGTGTCCAAATCAATCCTCGACTGGTTTGACTATGCTAAGAATTCCTTATAGAATATACTAACAGAATATCTCGTTCAGACAGCATAACTGGTTGGCTCTCAATTTGCTAAAATATAAATCTAGTAATAGAATTTAAGGAAGCAATGTAATCATTGACAGCTCAAATTTGCTCATAATATTTAACTCGGAAATCCCAAAAAAAAAAAAAAAAAAATCCTTTTCATTATGAACCAATTTAGTTTAGATGATAAATGGATTTGCTTTTTTATCATAAGACTAGAAAAAAAATTATTAAAGTTTAACAAATTTATTTATTTTTGAAATAGAAATTAAACTCTTAGATTTTTTCCTACATGACTGATAAATTCTTGCCATCTATTTCTATTATTCAACTCTTTTACAACATGAAAAATAAAAAAAGCAAAAACTTAAATCCATCAATGAAATTATTATTCCTCTAATTTTTTTTAAAAAATTATCAATACACCCTCCATCAATATTTATTATATAATAATTATTGAAAAATGTATTGATAATTATCTATAAAAAATGATGTAGAATAAAAATTTTATCGGTGAATTTAGTACTATCCTTTTATTTTTTTATTTTCCAAATAATTAATTATCATCTATGAATAGAGTATTAAAACAAAAAAATTCATTAAATAAATAATTTTTTATTCTAAGCCATCTCCGGCAATGAATCAACAATTTTCAAGTGTTTTTTTTTTTCCATATAGAAAAAAATTTCTTTTAGAACCAAAATGATTAGTAATAGTAAAAGCACACATCACCTTTTTTAAGTACTATCAGTTTGATTTTCTTCCAAAAGAAAAAAGCTCTGCTTTTTGATATAGAAATCCGCTTTTAGGTAAAGAAAATTATCAATTGTTAAAGTTAGACTAAATGATGTTTACGATCATGTCAAAAAATGATTTGGGTTTTTTTTGTACAAAATTAGGATGAACAATGCCCTAACCCTAAACCAAAAAAAGAACAAAATCAGTAAAAGAAATATAAAAAGAAATGAAGATTCTTATACTGAATGTTTTTTATTTTTTAATTAAAAGAATGTTTTCCCTTTCTTTATCGAGCGCTGCCCAAAAAATTGAAAAAAATCCAGTGCGATCTTTCTAGGCGATAGCAAATGAATTGGAAAGCAAATGCTGCCAGCCCATGACAACACCACAACCCCACGTTGCCCAACGTTATTCAAGTGGCGCGTTATTCCACGCTCCAAAATGGGCAGGTATTTAGCGACTAAGGTGGCATCTCTCCTGAGACTGGTTGACTTTCTTCTTCTCAGAGAATGAACACGAAACCCTACGATAGAGAAGAGAAAATAAAGGGTAAACTATACTTTAGCCTTTATATGTTCAGCAATGTTTTACTTTGAACCCTCTTGTCTAAACTTTTCCAATTGTAACGCTATGATTTTTTAAAGTTATATCTTACTTCTTTTTTTTATCTCTCACATCTAAAACTCATAACAGAACTAATATGTTAAGTTTAAATTCATGATTTTTTATTTAAAGATACCATTATATCTTACTTTGAATTGCTAAATCGTTAATGCAAACAAATAGAATAATTTATTGCATATGATACCATTCTAATGAAAAACTTAAAAATATATATATATATATAAAATAAGCATTGTTATTAAATTATGTAATTATAAACAATGGTTTAATAGTTACCTCAATATCTCATATTCACGATATCTTAAGTTTAATGATCTTAACTTTTTTTTATGATTATTACGAAATCAAATGACTATTATCTCAATTTGTGGAGTGCAAAAGATAATATATTTTGAAATTTATGATTCAAACGTGTTAATAGAATGCTTCAGTGGTTTTTTACTGATAAAAAAAATACATTGGAAGATTTTTAAGGTTACAGGGCTAACATTAGAAAATTTTGAACTATGAATATTAAAGTGGAATTTCTATAAATTTATAAGGTTAAAATATTGTTTACCCGAAAATAAAAAAAGAACAGAAAAACAAGAACACCCCTGTAAGTAAATAAAATGTCTTGTCTTTATTCACGTTTGTCCCTGCAACCAAAATCCTCTCCATTAATACACAAGCACACCCAGAGCCACAGTCTGTCTGAAATTTTTACACGAGTAATAAAGGTTGGGTCCCTTTCTTCATTGCAGCTATTTTAAATTTATAAAGTTTTTGTTAAATTCTAATTTGGGATTCTCTAGTTTTTGCTTGATTCTCTGGTTTTGGCTTTTGTTTTGTTAGTCTGGCAAAGTGGGTTTTGATTAAAATCAAAAACTAAATCAGAGCTAATACTATAGCTTGGATTTTTAAAGGTTTTAATCAGATTCCCATGTCATCTTTCTCTTGTTTCTCTGTTTTTCTTCTGTTTTTGTAACTTTTTTTTAATGATTAGAAAGGTTGGTTTTGATTAAAAAACAGATTCAAAATCCAAGTTAATCCTAAAGCTTTGATTTGAAAAGGATTTATTATTAGATTCCTATAAAGTTTCTAAATTCGTAATCTAAATGGGAAAGCCAACTGGTAAAAAGAAGAATCCGGGAACAGCAACGCCGCCGGCAACACCGAGAACAACCGTTGACATGAGGTCAACCAAATCCTCAAAGGCCTTTGATGAAGACACAGCAATTTTCATCAACATGTCACAAGAGCTCAAAGAAGAAGGCAACAGGCTCTTTCAAAGGAGAGACCATGAAGGTGCCATGCTAAAGTATGAAAAAGCCGTCAAGTTACTACCAAGAAACCATATTGACGTGGCTTATCTACGCACCAACATGGCAACTTGCTATATGCAAATGGGTCTTGGTGAGTATCCTCGAGCAATCAATGAATGCAATTTAGCTTTAGAGGTTGTGCCAAAATATAGTAAAGCTCTGTTGAAAAGAGCTAGGTGTTATGAGGCTTTGAATAGATTGGATTTGGCTTTTAGGGATGTCAATAATGTATTGAGTATGGAACCTAATAATATGATGGGGTTGGAGGTTTTGGAGAGCGTTAAGAAGGCAATGAGTGAAAAGGGTATTAGTATTGATGAGAAATTAATTGGGTTGGAGAATGTTGAGGAAGCTGGGGTGGCACGTTTGCGTGAAGTGGTGAAAGAAAAGGTGAAGAAGAAGAAGAAGACTAGTGGTAAAGGAGAGGAGAAGATTGGCAAGAGAGGAGAAGAATATTGCTGGTAAAGTGGAAGGGAAGAAGGTGGAGAATAAGGATAATGGTAAAGTGGAAGAGAAGAAGGTGGAGAATAAGGATAGTGGTAAAGTGGAAGAGAAGAAGGTGGAGAATAAGGATAAGATGGTTGTGCAGGAGAAGAAGGTGAGTCCTGTTGTTAAGGATAAAGAGGTAGTTATGAAGACTATTGACGAAGAAAAGGTGGTTAAGGAGGAGAAAGTGATAGCCAAGACAGTGAAGCTGGTGTTTGGGGAGGATATTAGATGGGCACAATTACCTGTGAATTGTAGCATTGGATTGCTGAGAGACATAGTTCGGGATAGATTTCCTGGCTTCAAGGGTGTCCTTATGAAGTACAGAGACCCAGAGGGTGATTTGATTACAATTACTTCTAATGATGAATTAAGGTTAGCTGAATCATCAACTGGTTCGCAAGGGTCTCTTAGGTTCTATGTTGTTGAAGTTAGTCTTGATCAAGAACCAGCTTATGAGGGGATGAAGATTGAAGAGGAGGTGCATGAGGATGTTAAGAAAACAAATGATGTTGTAGAGAATGGAAATATGGGGAAACATGTAGGAGTTGAAAAAGGGTCAACTGGTATTGATGATTGGATTGTTCAATTTGCACGATTGTTCAAAAACCATGTTGGGTTTGATTCTGATTCATACTTGGATCTTCATGAACTAGGGATGAAGTTATACTCAGAGGCGATGGAGGATACTGTTACTAGCGAAGAAGCCCAGGAACTTTTTGATATTGCTGCAGATAAGTTCCAAGAGATGGCAGCTTTGGCTTTGTTCAATTGGGGAAATGTTCACCTCTCAAGGGCGAGGAAATGGATCTTCTTTTCAGAAGATGGTTCAAGGGAGTCCGTACTTGCACAGGTTAAAATTGCATACGAGTGGGCCAAGAAAGAATATATGAAGGCAGGAAGGAGATACCAAGAAGCTTTGAGGATCAAACCTGATTTCTATGAAGCTCTTCTTGCTCTTGGGCAGCAGCAGTTTGAGCAAGCAAAGCTTTGCTGGTACCAGGCGATCGGGAGCAAGATTGATTTGGAAAGTGGTCCTTCTGAGGAGGTCCTAGATCTTTATAACAAGGCCGAGGACAGCATGGAGAGGGGTATGCAAATGTGGGAAGAGATGGAAGAGCAGCGTCTAAATGGACTATCCAAATTTGACAAATATAAAGACCAGTTGCAGAAAATGGGTTTGGATGGGCTATTGAGAGATCCAACTCCTGAAGAAGCTGCAGAGCAAGCAGCAAACATGAGTTCACAGATATACCTCTTATGGGGTACCATGCTGTATGAGCGTTCTGTTGTGGAATATAAGCTAGAGCTACCAACTTGGGAAGAATGTTTAGAGGTTTCAGTAGAGAAGTTTGAACTTGCTGGAGCTTCTCCAACAGATATAGCTGTTATGATAAAGAACCATTGTTCAAATTCAACCGCACTTGAAGGTAACATACAATTACTGCACATTAATACTTCTTTCTGGTAGTACTTTATATGTTGACTACGGAGAAGTTCAAAATGTATATTAATGCTAACACTCTTCAATTGTTGCAGGTTTGGGGTTCAAAATTGACGAGATCGTACAGGCATGGAACGAAATGTATGATGCAAAGCGGTGGGAGATTGGTGTTCCATCTTTCAGGCTAGAGCCATTGTTTCGTCGGAGGGTTCCAAAACTTCATGATATGTTGGAGCAAGTTTGATGTTTTTGTGGATATTGTATAATGTTTAGAGGCATGGGGCAAATGCTGTGGTTTTCATTTCTTCATTTTCCAGAGATTACATTAAGATAGGTACGTCTATTTCTGTTACTTTACCTCTTAGAGGGGATAATTCCATCTTTACACGATCTTTTGATTGTTTGAGATACTAGACTTCCTGTTTTACCATGATTTAATTATAGGCTTAAACAATGGCATGCTAAACTCAAATTTATTGTTTCTTTAGAGAATGATGAACCGGGGATTCATATTTGATTTCTGTTGGAATCTATGTGAAGTGGTAAATGTTAAAAGAAATGAGATTTTTAGTTAGCATGCCTTAGGAAGCGGGATTTGCTATACATGTGCCTGCAAAATGATCTTTGATCTGTGTACAGAGCTGAATTCATGACATCATAAGAAAGTCAAGTACAAGTTCTGGAGAGGAATGTGATAATGTGGGGATAGCATCTCCTTAATAGGTAACAATTTAGAGTGAAGAGAACTGTCTAGGATCACCAGAAAAGAAACTAGCGGCGACCAAACTTGTGCTATGTCACTTGGAAGCAGGATTGGCTTTCCATTTGTGACACGAACTCTTGAATTTACTTCCTGTTTTCTTTCCTCCGACATGAGGTCTTTATTCTTATTCTTAATGTTAAGAGATATGCTGTGATTTTCATGCATTGGGTAGAATCTTGTCCTTGGAGACCATATGGTTAATTAGAGCCCTCTGAAAAATGAGAATGATCCTCTGACCTTGGGGTGCAGGACCATTTTATAGACCTGATATTGCTTGATGAGATAGCTTTCCAGATTTGAGGAAGGGATGCATATAGTCCATGGAGAATCACAAATGTGGCTAGGTACTGGATGGTGGAATTAATTAGGGCATTGATGGTTAATGTCTACTAACAGGATCTTGTTATTGAAAGCCATCCTTGAAGTCGTGGGGTATGTAATATGGACAGGATATTATACGATCTTTTCATTTCTTGATTTGCACTGGATATTTCTTGGTGTCTCAAAAGGCTTGGGATTGAATCTTTTGGTTAGTCCCGTAGGAGGGTGCTGACTAGAAATGCATGCATCTATATGATTTTGGGATTTCTATCTGGAATTCTTTTAACCTGTTTTGCTCATCTCTTCTGTCGTCAATTATTTACCGAGTCACTAGTTCTGTTTCGTGCGAATTGCGTTTTATGTTTCTTAACGAATATGTTGCTGCTGACCGGGCTTCCTCTCTGGTTCTTTGTGATTGCAGGTATTTTTGTCTTTTATACTGTTACATTCAGCACATTATTTGCCATGGGGGGCAAACAATGGAAGTTTGCAAAGTCCTGGTTTGAAACGTGAGTCAGTTTTGTGATTGGGTTGTGAAGCTGGTTATATAAGCCACACTTTTGATTTTTCATTTTTTTCCCCATTGTAGTTGCTGTCATTCACAGCTGAAAGAGTGGGGTGGTGGGGTATATGATTGATTTGTTCATTTCAAACAATAAAAACCATCATGTTTGTCATTTGTAGAGGCTCTGTGCCTGTTATAGATTTTTTAGTTTGCTGTCTTCTCTTGTAGAACCATTTGTTCGTTTCGTATGAAATGAAGCAGTGTTTTTTAGTATTTGCATCTCTCAGTATCTCTCTCTCTCTCACTCTCGAGACTCCATTTTAGCTGCTTATTTGCTAACCACAATGTGAAGATGAGGCTGTGGAGGCTTTGATTGGAAAACCAACGAGGACTCAGTTCTGTTCTTTATTTCGTGTGACTTTCTTGTTTCCATTTTCCAGTGTAAATTGATTTCTTTTTTTAGTTAATTGACAAAATAAATTACATTTACTCGTTTCTTTTCCATTTTTATTTGTTTCTAATTAAAAACATTTATTTTTATATTACATTTAAATATATTATGACTCACGAAATATATACGCATGTGTACATAAATTTGTATTGAAAAAAAAAAAGATTAATTGATAATTATTATTTTTTTCCGAGTTCTCTTTAAAAAACCTATTGAATTTGAATGATTTTTTACAGCCCCCAGCAAAAATTTGAATTCCAACTTTTTTTCCTTTCTTTCACAATTTTTTGAATGTTTATTTTTTAAAAAAATTTCCCAATGTTGAAAAATTTGAATTATTCTTTGCAATAGATTTACTTTTATTAGTGCATGTAAAATTTTTTTGTTCAGAATACCAAAAATGGATTTTTTTTATGAAGGTAGTTGGTGAAGTTTGGCCAGTCCAACTGATAATGAAATTAAATAAAGGAGTAATATCTGCTCAAAATTGATAAATCAAGGACATGATTGGATTAAATTGATAACACAAGCCTCAATAATTTGCAATCTTAATAATTCAGTGGCAATAAATGGGCACCGAGTGTAAAAATTGGGGACTGATTTGTAGTTATTGGAAGTTATTGCTTTGACTTTCTTGTTTCAATTTCTCATTGGGTCCAGTGTTTGAAAAGAAAAGTTCAGGTGAGGCAGAAACAGATCAGATGGGTCACTTCCCAAAACGGGAAAACGCATCTCTTTTCCTTTGCATCTTCTTTGTCCCTCTAAGGCTCTAACCGTCCATTACTCTGTGCCATGTTTGTGATTTTTGTTTGCTTCAACTTTTTTGTGTTGTGATATGGAGGAAGCAAGACAAATCAAGGTTGACACATCGGAGGCGAGAGGAGCAGAAGAGGCAGAAGCTGTGATGAAGGATGAGAAAACCGAAGCAAAAGAAGCAGCAAAAGGAAGAGGGTTGATGGATGAGACAGTGGAGGTAAAACAAGTCACAGATTCCTCGGTGCCTCTTCAAATGAAGAGTAACAGAGTAGCCTCTGGCGCCAATTCTGGCCTGCGCCACCGACTTGGATCAAAGAAAAAGGTATCCTTGTGTTTCAAACTTTTACTTTGTGTTTTCATTTTCTAGTTGCAATAATCTATAAGTTAGGAGTAAAGTAGTGATATATAATTCTATAATTTTAAATTAAGAGTCATATAAGCATTTATTTATTACAATGGCATTAAATATTGTCGATTTGTCTCTGATTTATTTTTCATTCTTTTTAAATTTTTCTACAATCATTTTAATTCCTATTTTAACGTTTTTGTTTTTTTTTCTATATATATATATTATTTTTTTGGTAACTGTGCATGCCATGTTGCTTTAAAAACATGATGTTTGGAGTTGTAATTTTGGTTGATTCCTGTCGAAGGTGGCAATCAAGGTACAATTGGATAGTGGACAATTGGATGGTAAGAAGGCTAGTTACATAGCCTTGAAAGTTGCAGCTGGAATTCCAGGTAAACGTAACAGTAAATATGATTTTAATTTTCATCAGGTAAACATACTGAGAAATAATTTTTTATGAACGTACTGGTACTAGTGTGGATGACATGTTCAAAAATCTACCGAAGAAGTATCTAGTCTCGGTGTTTGAGAATACATGCACTGACTATTAAAAGAAACCTTAACCAAATCTAAGTTGGGATTCAGGCTTTGTTGTTGTAGTAGTAATAGTTATGTGTGTGTGTGTGTGTGTGTGTGTTTTTTCTTTTTTTTCATAGAAGGGGTTCGAACATGAGATTTTTTCGAGGTAGAGGAGACACCCATGCCAGTTGAGTTGCGTGTCATTGGCTGATAGTTATAGAAGTTACAGAGGCAATATGTTGAGGGTTTTTTTTTTTTTTTTTTTGGAGCCCAATTATCAGGGTGTTCATTAAGTGATTTCATTTTGTTGATGGATTTATTTTTGGGAAATCAATAGGTGTGGAGAGTGTGGAGCTAGGAGGGAAAGAGAAGAACATATTGGAAGTGATAGGAGATGATTTTGATTTTGTCCATCTCACATCGTTGCTGCGGAAGAAAATTGGACATGCAGAGATAATATGGAAGAAAGATATTATGGAAGATGAGCCACTTCTTTCCAAAGAAGAGGAAGATGATCCAATGTTGCAACCCCCGGTTTCATCATCCGCTCCTCATCATGTACTCTTGCCAATCAATGAGGTTGAATGCCATTACTGACTTCCATGTACTCTTGGCTCCCTTGTTGTGATTCAAGATAGTGTAAATAAAGTCTACTTTAGGCGTTTCAACGGGCAATTTTCTTTTCTATAATAGCTTTGAGAGTTGGCAGCAAAGCTAGTGACATAGTCAAATAGGGTATGAAAACTTAACGAAGGAAGAAAAGCAGGATTCCCAGCAACTGAAATGTGCTTGCTTTAAATCCAAATTGAGTTTTGTAGAATCAAATTGTTCTCTTATAATTAATATTATTATGTTATTTGTAATGCTACTGTCTTTATTACAGGATAGTGTTGACTCAGAGAAGCTGAATGGAGGGATAGAAACGGAGATGGAAACAAAGGCAAAGACTCACAGTAATCATGGTTCGGTAAATGCAGAGCTCAGCTCATGTACAAGAGTAAGAACTACATCTTACTTGAAAAACGGTGCTTCAGAAATTTTTGAAATTTTATGATCATATTGGTTATAATTTCTGTGGTGTAGAAAACAACTGAGTGGACTTTACTGATCACCAGCTTACTTCTAGAAGGTATATCTGCAGTTTTTGAGCAGCTCGGTTATGCATTAATGGGCATGGCGATGGCATTTCTAGCTTTGCTTCTTTCCATCATTGATCTGATTCGCAAGGCTCGAAAGGAAGGAATTACAGGTGATGGGAAGAGCCTGCTACCTCGTTTTTCTGACCATTCAAGTCTTAATTCCCCGAATTTCAAGCCCTCTGGGAGTCTTGTTGAGTACTTTGGATTAGCAGGTGCTGTCTGGCAATGCACTTACTCAACAATACAGTATTATTATACTCGTCGGAACTTAGATAATCCAATCAAAATGTGTCTTCTACCTTTCATTTTCGCTTTGTGTGTGATCATTTCTAAGTTAGTTAAGAGCAGCCCACATGAAATTGGTTGATCTTGAACCCACATGAGAGTTAATTTGTTTTTAGTTGACAAGAACAGCATTTAATGGCATTATTGTGGATATATGCTGTAGATGATGTTAAAATTCAGATCGATCACATTGTAAGCTGAAAGAGAATCAAAGTTCAAAAGTTCATACATTTTTGGATCATGTTATCTTAAAGGGAATGTAAATGGTGCTGAGGGGAGTAACCCTGGTCCTATCTTGATAGTTGGAGATTCTGGTGATGAGGGGATCGTTCTTATGCATTTTTCCTTGTTCTAATGGTTTGCTAGAGTTCGATGGCACTGCATTGAAAGGTTACAGGATTTTAGAGGCGGTGGTGCTGGTAAGTCCCGGACTAAGACAAGCCAGAATCATCATTGAGGGGGATTCTATTTATTCAATCTCCTGAATGTAATCTGATCTAAGCTGAATATGGAAACAACATTAGGCTCTCAGTTTTGTTCTTTGCCCGTTGTATGCCCATAAGAAACAAAGAAAAGCTTCCCAGATTTCCAAAAACCGAGTGGCTACGATCTCTCTAGAAGGAAGACATGATATTTTGGACTCTTTGAAATTCTTTATATGACGATGGCAGCCTCGTCGACTACTTTGGATTTGCTGGTGCTGTCTGGCAATGCTCTTACTCAACAATAGAGTATACCTATACAGCTATACTCATCAGAACAAAGATAATCCCATCAAAGTGTGTCTTCTACCTTTAGTTTTCACAATGTGTGTGGTCATTGCTAAGTTGGTTAAGAGCAGACCCCATGAACCATCAGCTGAACCCTAAGTTTATCTGTTTTTGGTAAGAATTTAATGAAAACTTTCCATACTACATTTGATGACGAACTGGTACAATGTCAACATCATAGAACTTGAATTGAGCACTTCCAGATCACAATAATCTCCAAGCGAAAGCAATTGTGCCGAGGGGATTGAGTGATCGGTGGAGATCCTTGTGATGTCAAGGGATCATTGTCTGCATGTTTTCTTGTTCGGATGTTTTGCTAGAGTATTAATGCTACAACATTCAAAAGTTGCAGGGTTTTAGAGATGATGATGCTGATAGTGGTAGCCAGGAGTCCAGGACTTAGGCGTGCAAGAATTATTATATAGGAGGATTCTACCAGTGCAATCCTCTGATATAAGCTGAACATGGAAACTGAACCCAGATTTTAATGATATAGGAACAACTTCTGGGGCTCGGTTCTGCTCTTAGCCCTTGAACGTCCCTATAAGAAACAAAGAAAGGCTTCCAAGATTTCCAAAAACCTGCATTGCTCTGATCCCACCAAACTGCAGGTTCAAACTTTTAGTATTATGGACAGTTTGATTGAATCTTTAGATGAAAACAAAAAATTCAACCAAATTTGTGAACTGCATAATATTATAGCGTCTGTCATGTTAATATTTGCAAGTCAGGAAAGTACAACACAAGTGAGCAATTATTCAGTACTTTCAATTTTTTTCTTCCTTGTACATCTTTTATTCAAATTGGAGCTTTTTATTTTTTGCCACAAATAGGACCCTCCAGTCCGGTTGTTATGCATTAGAAAATTAGTACGGATTTAAACCCGTGACTATTTACAAGTACAAAGAGTTCAGTGCTTCTGGACTAGAAGGCTATTGGTCAGGATCTACTCGTTCAATTTATTTATTTATTGAGAAAATTATTTTATAAAAGCAGCATTTTTCCTATTAAAAAAAATGAGAGGAGTAATCTTTAATTTCCAAATAGTTTTTCAAATAACATCGTATATTGACACTACATTATCAATAGTTTTAAATATGCAAAACTAAGGCTGTAAATGGATGGTATTTTGGTTCGAATCCAATGTAATTAAATGAATCTAGTAAACAATATTTTTTATCCGAGTTCGATTATTATCCGAATACGTTAACTCCTTTATTAAATGGATCAAATGTGAATCAACTTTGATCCGATTTGATAATAATCCGACTCAACATTAAAAATAATATTTTTATAATAAATATAATATTTTTAAAAAAACTAGTTAAAATTTTAAATATGAAACTAGGCTAAACTTTAGAGTCTATTTCTTATAAAGTTCAAGTAATGCATATCTTTTAAAAATGACGATTGTATTTTTTTAAAAATCATATATAAATTTCTTGTCATTTTATTAATTTAATTTCATGAAAAAGATTAAAATTGACGTATATACATTTTTAAAATTTAGTGTTATTATATTTATCATCACTCTATTTTTACTGCCACGTGAATAAAAAATAAATATTATTTATTATTTGTTTCTTTTAATTTTATCATATTTTCTATATACTTCAAGACAAACTTCTATTAAAATTATTTGATTTTGCATTTTTAAATTGTGTGGCATTTTGAATTTTTTACAAAATCGATAAATGAAATATTATCTTAATATATTTTATTATACATATAATGATTAAAATATATTTATTTTCAAGCAATATATGAAATCTAGTAATTATAAACTTTTTATAAAAATCAAACGATAAATCCGATAGAGTTCCGAATTCGATCCGTCCGCATCCGTTAGGATTTGGATTCAATTTCATATTTTCAAAATCCAATCTGAATTTATAATATTTGATTTAATCCATTTCAACAAATAAATTAGATTCAAATATACTATAATCCGATTCAAATTTATCCTTCTATAGCTTTACCAATAACTTTGTGCATTCGATAGCTTATTTAATTTAAACAAATTTGAATCTTAACTGATTTTAATTTATTTAATAATTATTTATTATATATAATAAAGAAAGACTATTTTTTATTATATCGTACAAAATCCGCGGTCGTTGGGAGGAAAAAGGGGAAAAGATGCACGTCCATGCATAAAAACTGACATCAAGAATAATGAGCCAACGTTTTTAGGTTTGGAATCAACATCAACCATCAACATTTCGTAATAATAATAAAAACAAGCAAAAAAAAAAAAACTTCACGCCACCCAACGTGGCAGCATCTCAGGCATCAACTGACATAATAGCCATTTACCTAAATCCAGCGTATCATCTCACCCTACTCTACCGTCTACTACTACACTACCTGTTTGATCTCTTCCATTTCAAGAGCATATCTTTCTACCTTCATCTTCAAAATAAAAAATTCTCTCGTTAATTTTTTATAAAAAATTAGGGCTTTCTTCGATTTCTGAAAAAAATGGAGAAAATCAGAAGAGCATCTCATGCTGGTTCTTGGTACACAGACAATCGTAAGTCTCTCCCTCTCTCTCACTTGCAATTTTTATTTTTTTACTATTTTTAATCTTTATTATTATTTTTTTTTGGTAGCTAAAGAGCTAGAAGAAGAGCTTGAGGGATGGCTAAGTGCTGCTGGATTAACGAAGTCTCCCGATGTTCGCGGTGTTATTGCTCCGTATATTACCATCAATCATTTTTTTCTTCTTAATTTTGTTAATTTGATTGTATTTTTTTCTTTTTTATTATTTTTATTTATTTATTTAGGGTGGCAAAATGGAAATTGTAGGCATGCAGGTTACTCTTATTCAGGTCGTGCTGCAGCTTATGCTTTTGGAAATATTGACCCCACTAACATGTTAGTCAGATAATTTATTTTCTGTTTGATTATTTATTTTTGTTTCGATCGAACCTGCCATTGTTTAAAGCAGTGATAATGTGAAGGTTTTTTTTTTTCCAAAAGAAAAAAAGTTTGTTTTGTTATAATGTGAGCTGATTCCGTGGAAATGTGATACCCGGGTAGTATTTATTTACTTTTCCGAGAATTGCATTTCGAGGAGAGTGATTCTGGTGGGGAAAGTGACGACTTTTTGATGATGATAAGTGAGATTTTTTTTTTTTTTTTTAGTACTCGGGTATTCCTTCTTGGTCCGTCACACCATTATTATACGGCAAAATGTGCTCTTTCAACGGCTAGAGTTTACAAAACGCCGATAGGGGACTTACCTGTTGATTTGGAAGGTACTATACCAGCATGGTTTGATTTCTTATTGAGTTGATATGCAAATGTTGAATGATCTTTGAAGTGGATTGGTTCTTTTGAGCCTTCATTTTTGGTTTGATGCTGGGTGGTTCTGTGTAATTGAATGAATTATGTTCTTTTGGGATCGTTTTCCAGTTATTGAGGAACTTAAAGCCACTGGAAAGTTTGAGTTAATGGACCTTCGTGTTGATGAGGCAGAACATAGCATGGAAATGCACTTGCCATATCTTGCTAAAATATTTGAAGGGTAATTTCTGTTGAGAATTTCTATATGTTGGTTTTGTTTATGGCTCAGCTTTGCTGATATTTATGTTGCTGTGTTTTTGTTTATTTACTTTTCCATGGCTGATTTTTGTTAATGTAATGCAGGCACCCGGTGAAAGTTGTACCCATTTTGGTTGGTGCGCTTAGTGCTGATAACGAGGCCATGTATGGGCGCTTGTTGGCAAAATATGTTGATGATCCAACTAACTTCTTTTCTGTCTCTTCAGATTTTTGTCACTGGGGTTCTCGGTATGTTTCATTATATGCTGGTTTACATGGTACTTTTCTCCTTCTACATGTCTTCATATTCATAGAGGAGGTCTAGGATTGTGATGTCCCTTCAATTTGCTTCCATACCAAACACTTCTACCATGCACAATGCTGTGTAACATTTGTTGGAGGTCCCTTTTCTTTTTCCTCATAATCAAAGCTGGAGAGATGATGTTTCTTTTTAAACTCCTGTTTGCAATGCTTTCCTTAAAGCCTTGCAAGATCTATTGTTCAATTTGCTTCTATCGAATCTGAGAATTTGTTTTGAAGAACTTGATAGGATGCCAGATGCTTCCGATCCTGCTTAATGCATTATGCCAAAGGGTCTTCTATATTTTAAGATGAATGGATCTGTCATTTGTCTAGTTCATGAATTAAAAAATAATAATAATAATAAAATTAAAAAACTAGAAGTCACATGGTATTTGAGGATCAGCTTATATCATCCATTTTTGTATCCGTAGTTCTGTAAAGCATGATATTCAGCAGTTTGGGCTGATTCTTCACTCACAGCCATATTGTGTTGTAGTTCTGTTGAAATTCTTTCAGTTCACATTATGTTTTTAACCATGTCATCAAACATATTTTGACCTGTGTTTCTTGTATTAGGTTCCATTACACGCACTATGACAAGAAATGCGGCCCCATACACAAGTCTATTGAGGCATTGGACAAGATGGGCATGGACATAATTGAAACAGGGAGTGCAGATGCATTTAAACAATATCTGTCCGAGTATGACAACACGATCTGTGGAAGACATCCAATTAGTGTTTTCTTGCATGTAAGTGCCCAAATCTCACAAGTTGCCAAAATGGCTTGATTTCAGCCCCAAAATATGTTTGCAGGTGTCTTTACATCAACTTTTTCTTCTAGTTTCCGTATGCAATTTCTGCCAGCCATGCCCTGCTTATATTTAATTGAGTAATTCATGACAATTGTTCTCACACCTATCACACCAACGAGAAATCTTAGATATATTATTGCATGTTTTTCGGTTTCTATTTTAGAGTAAATTATGAATTAGTCCGGCTAGTTTTGATAAACAATTTAATTAGTTCTTCTGTTTTTAAAATTTATTATTTAATTTTTCTATCAGTGTTGAATAGCTTCATTTGATATTACCTTATTTCAAAAAATATCTTTTTTTCTCATCAATTTTTATATAATATCTATTTTATTTTTTTTCATTTTTCTATTTTTTAAAACAAAAAAACAAAACAAATTATAAAAGAGCATAAAATGAACAAAAGGAACTAAATAGCTAGTTTTTGAAACAGAGGTGACTAATTTATAATTTACTCTTTTATTTTGCCATTAAATATCTATGATACTTTCAGATGTTGAGGAATTGCTCGACCAAGATAAAGATTAAGTTCCTCCGGTATGAGCAGTCTAGCCAATGCAAAACAATGAGAGACAGCAGTGTCAGCTATGCATCTGCAGCAGCAAGGGTGGATGCTTGAAGCTGGGATATTGAGCATTTCAAATTTAGTGGTGTGGAAGCAATTAACTTCAAACTGGGATATTGAGCATTTCCAATTTACTGGTGTGGAAGCAATTCTTAATTTAAACTTATTTTAATTAAATGTATTGTGAAACTTAATTTGAATTTGCATTTGCAAGAATCCATCTTGCAATGCATTTCCTGGTTATAGAGTGAAGCTAACAAGGAAGCCTAATTCCCTTTTCCTCGTTAATTGTTCTGGATTCCATTTCTAAATCTTAGTGTCTAGAGGAGCTGGACTCCATTTCTAAATCTTAGTGTCTAGAGGAGCTGACTCCATTTCTAAATCTTAGTGTCTAGAGGAAGGGCTCATGGTAGTCCAATGGCTTTTGGGGTGGCAGTGGCAGGGATTGGCTGTTAGTGTCTGTGTACTGGAAAAGGCGAAGTAAACTAGCATAGCTTTCGACTGAAATAGGGAAAATGAGAACAAAAATCCTTGTAAGAAATGATGCTTGTGGTGTTATGGAGAGTAAAAGAGGTAGGCAATTCCACGACCCTCTCAACAAAGAGGCCAAGTGCACGATGTCAAGATGGTGGAAGGGGGAATGCAAGACATCTTTAATGGCCAGGTCCTCTTGTAATGGAATAAAAAATGGTTCTTGGAAATTAAGAGACTACAGTTAGTAGTTCGGAAGTAGAAAGGTATGCCTTGCCAGCGAATAGCACTACAGATACAGATGTCTCTGTATATCCATCAGATTCTTTCGAAAGCCAAAAATCCTTGGTGAGAAGATGGGTAAAGACTGCAAAATTGTTGGCTTTCAAAGTCTCGTTCATTTTGGACTATATTTGACTCCATAAGCATGGCGTATCTTTAGATTAGTCTAGCTTGAAGAATTTAGCTGGAAAAATAAAACAAAAGATAAAAACGAGTCCTTTCACTCTGCGTGCAGCAGCATGGAATCACGGCAAGACGGCCATGGTTCTCCTTTCCTTTACCATTTGTTGACTTTACACAAGAAAACAAACAGCTACTAAAGAAAAGAAGAAAAAGAGGATTCTGCTATAACAGTAACGGCTGCATGCAGGAAGCCAGTAACTGATCACAGCTGTGCACACAATCATGCACGAGCATGATTTCTATGAACCATAGCGCATGGTTTGTGCGGATGACTAGGATCAACGATCATAGTTTAAATAACAATCATTACATTATATAATGACCATTATATGACAATTTCAAAACATCCAGTTAGTATTATAATAAGTCACGATTTGCAATAGTGACCATAACAATTTTTTCAACCGTTTGCAATTTAAAATTATGTCAGCAACTGCATGCGGCTGCGACTGTCCATGTCACAGCTCTAAAAACTAATTGCAATGCATTTTATTTCCATAGCTATGGCATATCTTACTGGATGATACCATAAATGATTGTCTTAGCTATTCATTACAAAAGAGACAAACATCCGTATGTACATACAGATGGCCAGCAAGGTTTTAACGTTCTCTTATTTAAGTAAAGTTTTCATACTCTGTATTATCAATAATTAGCTTTGGATTCAGCAGGTATTTTACTTGCTATACCATTTTCATCTGCTGTCAGCATACTCCATTTACCAGCAGAAATTGGAGGCTCAAAGATAATGACACCACCATCTTTCAGTCCCACCGCAAATTGGTCAGGTTCCTGAGGATGTGCTGCAATGGCAAGCGGATACACACCCAAACTACAGCCACAAAAAAACCCACAAGATACTATCATTAGGTAGACATCAGATCAGATACTTGACAAGAGAACGACTATAAATGTATGAGATTGGACAGCTCCTCTGCTGTAATTCATTTCTAGTGTGTGGGCTTACCTTGAAGTGGGAGAAAGGTAAGCAGTTGGATTAATCTGACAGTATAACTGAAAATCTGAAGCATCAAATATAGAGACGAGTCCATCTTCAAAGCTGGTATACACCATCTGGCCATCACATGAGAATGTTGCATGGGATATTGGTGCTCCATAATCTCCTGCAATCCACTGTTTAAAAAAAAAAAAAAAGATGTTTTTAATTATATCCTCGATGAGCAGTCCAATTACTGAAACACACCTTCTTGAGAGAGAGAGAGAGAGAGAGAACCTGCTTCACACATTCTAAGTTTCTGGCATCATAGATTGAAAGGCAAGTCTCATGTACTGCAAGGAAGTCTGTCTGATTCTGATGAAACTGGATGTCGGAATCTAATGATGTTGAAAAAGTTATACGGCAATCAGGAGTATGCAAGAATCTGCTCCTCTGTTTGTCCCACCCTTCAACATTCCAGACAAAAATCTGCAGAAGAAAAAACAACATGACTGCATAAGCACACTCCAGACAAATGAAAGAAGTCAAGGGCAAGGCATCATTTTAGTCAACAGCTACGCCTAAAAATGCCTTTTGAAATCATCATCAAGGAAATTCAGCACTAGACATATCCCTTATAATTTCAAGGCTAACCTGAGCATCTGCTCCGGAAGAAACAAGTACGTTCAGATCCTTAGAGAAGGCAAGGCCAGAGACTCTTTTAAAATGACCGTCAAGTATGGTAACAACCTGCATAAACCAAGGAAATGACAAACTTGGCTTGGTTTTGCTCAAGCAAAGGAATGGTGCATATCAGGAGAAATACATACCTTAGCTGAACGGACATTATATATTAGGATTGTGGAATCCTCTCTCCCTATAGCGAGTATGTTGTTATCTTGAGGAAGGAACGCAATACATGTTGCAGCAGGTGGTGGTTGCATGATAGACAGCATTTTCTGTTAAGTTTAAGAATGTTCAGTTAGTTCCTAACATGCTTGTAACAACCCGAAACACGACCAAATCCAAAAGAACTGAAAGCATGTGACATGTTAAAGATGATACTTTCATATCATAAGATAATGTTCAATAAAAAGTGAGAAAACCACATATGACAGACATTTTTAAAAATTTCAAAAACAATAATTTAGAGCCATATACGGAAGTGGTAAGACAAGTTAAAATGTAACAATAAGTAGAAAGTTTTTTGTCCTAAGTAAACTTGGAACAATTTGGAAATCATGAAAGTAATTGGAAGATATGTAGTCAAATTGAATGTATAAAGATATCAAAGTATACATGACAAAAGATCACATAGGACTAATGAAAATGTGCATGAATCATTCAGAACTTCATAAATTTGAAGAATTTGTAGACTGCAAATAGTGTTTCATGATACCTTAAATTTCAGCAGGTTATACAGAGAAATTTTCCCTCCAGATGCTGACATGAGATATGAATCATTATTGGACAGGGCAAAGCAGGGAACTGTCTTGTCAGGGCTGCTGCCTGTAAGGTCATTTGTCATCAGTCCGGAGCTGCTCCTGGGTTGCCACAGTTGAGGGCTCACTTTTGCAGTTGCCTACCATTAACATTTCATCGCAATAACATTATTAACAACAGGTAACACAAAATTTCAAAGAACAATTTCAAATGGAAGATAGAAATTGTTTATGTCTCTCGTCTTGCTCACCTTGTCACTCGAGTCAAAGTCATTCTGTGGCCATTTCCAATATAAATGAGTCGCATTCGATGTTAATGCCAAAATGGAGTTACCCACATTGTTGTAAATGAGCCTCGATATCTGCATTTGTGAGAGAGAAAAAAGCTATTTAGAAACTTCTCAAGCTTTCACAGTATGTTGCAATTTTTCAGCATAAATATGTATAAAATTTAAGGGTCTCAAATTCTCAAGCAATTGTGTCAGTATCTCCAAGAACAAAGATCTGTGTTGCTTTTGAATATATTATAGCACATTTTTAAAGATAGGTTTAGGAATCCTTCCACATTTCAAATTTTTACACATGTATTGATAAATCCTGTCCTTAATATCCAACACACAAAGAAATTTGCATACCAAGAACTGACAAGAAACTTAAACTATCTAGAAAAGCAAAAGAGAAATAAAACAACAATCTATGATCATGGTCAAAGTATCTGAAAATAAGTGCACATTTGTAGGACTTGAAAGACATGAAGCAGAAGAAGCAAATGATAAACCAAAAAAAATTGATGAAAAGAACAATTGAGTAGCTAGAACATAGGATGGCCAAACCTTGTCTGCTTTCACGTGAGAAGAAAGTCGCAGAATCTGGCACTGAGAAGGACTGTTTATTTCAATGAGCTTCCCATTATTTAATCTAGTGGTTTTTCCAGTAATTTTAGATTTCACTGCCTCCAAGTTTTCTGGGTTTTCATTCTGCAGAAGATATATATATGAAAAAAAAAAAAAAAAAAACAATGCCTTAGTACTCCAAACTTCAAAGTAATTTCCAAAGTCATGACAAGGCCTGCCACAATATAGGACTGTATTAAGTAAAAATAAAAAATAAAAACAATGCATTGTGTCTTATAAGATATAGTGTGAATCCCAGACAAAATTTAGAGTTACCCACTTTTGTGACAGCTTTGTCTGCAACTCCAGCACAAGCAACAGTTGAAATCGGTTCAATTACAAGCTGTGAAAAATTAAAACCATCAGACAGAGATCTATCTTCTACCATCTTCTACCGCAAGATATGACTGTATTAAGTACGCCCACCTTCATAAAAGTATCAGAGAGAACTCTGGAAGCATCATCAGAGCAGTTTTCTGATGTATGCAGTGACTGAAGACCACCATCTTTTGCCAAGATCTTGATCTTGTTGTCATTCGCAGAAACAGCCAACAGCGTGCCTACCTTGTTAAATCGAACACACGGGTTTGCCTTCACATCAGAGGCAAATAAGAATTCAATTAGAAACTTAGACCACCCTTCTTTAATGCGAATTATTTAATTGAAATTAAATCAAAACTGAACCATTTCTTTTTGTAGAATAGTAATGTTTTGTTGAAATTTAATTAAAACTATCGCCTTGAAATGTGAAAGACCTTTAAGAAATTTAGACCTTCATCTGCATAATGATTGTCGTTGTAAAAATGTAGCAGAACAGTCCTAAGGAACTTACTGGTAAGCCTCCCTCTGCGTCAATGGTTGTGAAAAGCTCAACTTTGTTCATATCCCAAATTTTGATCACATGCTCATCACCAGCAGCTAAAACCTGATTCTTCATTATATCAAACTGCACTACACCTGGAGAACTCTTCTGCAATCCTAGATAGGTTCTCTTTAAGGAACCTTCAGAGTCATCCCATTCGGCAAGAAATGACTCTCCACTTTTACTGGTGCCACACGAGAAAAGCCTAAAAAGCATTATGACATGATATACCCATCAAATATAACCAGCATGGGAAACATTGCAACGGAAATTCAGTCAAAGTAAATGAAACCTTTCATCACCACTATAAGCCAAAGATGTACACCCCAGGCCAGGAGCATCATAATCTACTCTGGCTCCTAAATTATCATATAGCCACGCTTTTATGTTGCCAGACACTGATGTCGCAAAGATAAACTGAGGCATTAAAAAAAAAAAAAGCAAAGATAGAGTTATCATCAGTTTGAAAAAGCAACAAGAAGAATCAACATCACCACCACAAGTAACAGTAGAATCGAGAGTAACTCTTACATTAACACTTCCCTTGCTATGGGGGCGGAGAGAATAAACAGGAGCATCATGGCCTTCAAAAGTATACATTTTGACACCACTGGTCACATCCCATGCCTTAAATCGCCATCAGAAAAATTAACATCACACTCTTTGCTAGAAAAAAAAATTCCATTATCGAATTCTAATGTAAAACAAAGCCAACCTTAACTGTCTTGTCATCGCCACAGGTAATGACCAGCAGTTGTTTCTCAGAGGCAGAGAATGCTAAGTCATTTACACCACCCACATGAGCATCAATCTAGATATAAGAAATAAGTTACTGAGTAAGCTCGATAAAACAAATATCAGAAAAGTCAAAATTTTAGAAAAGTCAAAATAATTTATTAGATAGCTACCTCCAATTGTTGCTGCACTCCGTTGGCATCATTATAAGAATATATTTGCACTATGTGTTTTGAATAAGCAACCCCTGTTCAAAACCAAAGCAACAAGGCTTTGTTAATAAACAAACAAAGTCCAAATGACAGGAATATTACTTCCCGATGTCTTCCATTATCTTTGAACTTACCAAAGAAACAACCTTCTGGGCTCCAAGCAACACGATTAACAGAAACACCAGGGTCCTTGAGCAAAGTTGCCTGGATTTATGCAAGATCATTTCATATTTCAGACGCATGATTGTTTTCCTGCTAAAATGGAAGCATGATATAGAAGGTACAAACCTTGAACATCATTGAGCATGCTGCGATATCCCAAACCTTAAAATTCCTTGAAAGTAAACTTTCCCCTGAACTAACTTCCCACAATCTTATGTCCCCCACAGCAGTTCCAACTGAAGTATCAAACCATCAGTTTCCATGAGTAAACAATGAGTTTAAATAAGGTGCGTATCCCAAAAGGCCTAAATTTTCAGAAGTATTGAAAAAATATCCTTATGAGTAAACCTAGAAGAACAGTCTGTTTTTCAGGGTGAAACTCCATGCTTGTTGGAGATGACCCTTCGTTTAATATCCTTAAAACAGTCTTAGGTAAGTAATCATAAATGTCGACAGAGCTTTGATCAGGTTGAGAGGCAGCTGGTATTTCCTGCATGCATTCTGCTATTTCCTGCACGCTTGGAAAACCATGACTTCAGAAAAACATTATTATTATCATTTACCAATGTATCAACAGAAAATAAACAATCAAGCTTACCTCGTCAGAAGGCCTTTTTAGTATTTCAATCCCATTTTCAGGAATACTATTGTAATGTACACTAGTACCATCCTCCGAAGCTTCTGCAATAATAGCTGCAAACATGTAACAGATAGTTAACAATAAAAGGAATATTTTTTTCCATAATCACAATTATATGGCTCTCAACAAGATCTTGCAAATAATAATGAGAGAATCACAAACCAGTACCTATGTTTGATGGACCACCAAGAGAAAAAAAAGCTTCATTTGAAATTGAAGAGTGAGGCTCAGAAGATAAAGTAGAATTCGAGTCTGAGGAAGTTGAAACCAGCATTGATGTGGTTTGAGAAGGCTAGGCAAAAATATTGAAGCTCATTAGATGGATTACATTTGAATACTGTTAAATGGATGATCAAGCTGGCTTCGTTTAGGAACCACACTTGAATCCATTTATTGGAAAGGAAAAAAGAAAGGACTAAAATGATCATCATTCTTCTTGTATCATACCACTGGATTGTTATCACTTGATGATGAAAATAAATGAACATCTGATGGTATCGGTACACAGATATGATCCACAAAGAGGGTTCTTATATCAGGATTTGGCTGCGGAAATGCACAATGCATATGCTGCCAGTTCAGACTGTCAGATTAAATACAAAATCAGTTTTCTCTGAGTGCCAAATAAACATGTCTAGAAATTTTGAAGAGACTCCAACATGCATATGTTCATATAAAAATGCAAGCACTTGCATGTACTCTGTATGTATCCATCGCCTGTGTTTGGTGTGTGGCTTGGTGTATTCGAGTTGTAATTGAAGTTGCAAATTAGATTAAGGAGAAGAAAAAAATACCTTTGGTTTATGAGACGCCGTAACCTATGACTTACAATGTTCGGAAATTCCAATTTGCCATGCAGAAGGGGATTTGCTTCAATAATTTTCTTAAGCTCAACCCTCATAACTTTCCTCGCAGACTCTGCATCACTATACATGGAGAGTGACTCATGGTCCCTGCTCAACCAAAAAATAAGCTTAATATGCTACTCCTATGGAATGTGAGTAATGATAATGACAAAAACATATATATGTATATATATATATATAGATTTTTACCTTATATCATTTAGTGTCAAAAGCAAAGTCATTTCTTTTAACAGCTCCTCATTATCTGGGCCAAAAGCTTTCAAATCCTTCATAAGGATGTATAAAGCCTTGGTGCGGTCCTTTCTGTAAAATCAATTAACAAATTTCAACTGGAATCGATGCAAAATACATACCGCCTGAAAAATTATAGTCATGGAAAAGTTTATTGAAAGAAAGAAAGAAAGCAACAGCCTTACTTGTCCAATGCCTCAAGGAATTTCTGCTTCCTAATTTCAAAATAGATCTTTGTCGAGTATCTGTTGTCATCTAATTTTGTGAAACAAGAAAGATATTTCTCAGCCTCATCCCAATCGCCACTGCTTATCATCTCCTCAAAAAACTTCATGTTGAAGTAATAACCACTTTCACGCTCAAGTCTAGGCATCGATGATAAAGGAAAAAAGGTTACATACAATCAAATGATTCATTAAAAATAAATAGCAAAAATCATCTAAAAGAGCCTGAGAGGGAAGGAAAAAGTGACATACATGCGAGCAGTTTCGTTGAGCCCTTCCTCATCTAAGAACTGTGAGATCAACAAGACAAGATCTCTACTAAGAGCAGACATCTCTCCACAGCGGCCTTGCTTGTCACCTGAACCTCTAAAATGAATACAAATCTCCAAATTTGTTAAATTGATATAATAAATAACATAAACAACATTGTTAGCTTATTTAAATCGCGTACGAATTAAATCAAACTTTGCAAGTTCTAGCTGAAAATATAATTTGAACAATCCATACATAAAAGGTGAAAAATAACAAAACCCCATCACTGTTAACAAAAAAAAAAAAAAATTCTAGGACACCAAACAAAGGGCTTGAGTTTTGATCAAGTGAAAATGAGCCTAAAATAAACCAAAAAATCAGAGATGATCATCTACTCAATTATAGACATCTCTCTCTTCTACTTCCATCAAATTAAGCAAAGAAATCTGATGGTTTTCAAACAGAAAACAGTAAATCAAACAAGAAATTCTGGGTTCTTAACCAATCGAGACAGTGCCTTTTTAGCTTAAAATCACTAATACTGAAGCCAAACACCACTAAACAAGATAAAAATGAGCAAAATTTTTCAAGATAAAAGAGATGGGTATCAAATAAAAGCAGAGAAAAAAAAAGCTCACCTGAGAAGTGAGGAAAAAAAAAACAAGTGAATTGGATTGACACAGAAAGATAGAGAGAGAGATCAGTCAGTGATCATGACCTTTACCTTTAGCTTCAAAAAACCAAGGGTCTCTTTCTTCTCTGTGTTTTCTGCACTTTAACAGCTGAACTCACACGCTGTGCTGAAAATGGCGTGATATAAATAGCATAAGACTGGCGATTTGTACAAGATGATAAGCGCACGTGGTTATAATTTATAAGTCTTCTTCCCTGAGGAAATATGTGATAGGAGACAGGAGTTATAGAAGACTGTTGTAATAGTGGGGCCCATTGGAAGACAAATGTTCTTCATTCAGGGAGGGCCACCTCAGGTTTTAGACACGTTACACAAAAAAGGTGCAGAATTTTCCTAGAAGAAAACATTTGGCATCCCACATAAAACAAATCAGGGAGTTTCTTTTTTTCTGCACAGCCCCCCACCTGCCAAATGCCAATTCAGCATGGATTGAGTTTGAAAACTTAACAATATGAAAATAATAATAATAATAACAACAATAAGGCCAAACTTTTAATTTCAACTCATTTAAAATTCAATCTATGAACTTTAAATTTAGTTTTTAAAATTCTTAAATTTTTAATTTTTTAAGATTTATTCTATCTAATGACTTTTAATTATCACTTTCTCTTCTAAAAAATACAATACATTTATTTTAAGTTAAAATTTTATGCATGAGTTAGGAAAAATTTAATCTATTTTCTAGAAAAAAATTCAGAATTTTTCAAAATCAAAAACTATATTTGTTTATGTTTTTAACATTAAAATTATAGAAAATAATCCAAAATGATCTCAAATTTTTTTAGGAGCCTCATATAAATCTCACTCAATGATTTTCATCATAAGTATATTAATGTGATTGTTATTTTTATGATAAATGACTAAGAAAAAACTAAAGAATTGATCTGAATATCAAAAACTTAAAAGTTTAGGGAACCTAAAAACCAAATTTAAAGTACAAATTATAAATTTCAAATGACTTAAAGTTTAGAAAATATTTAATCTATTTAGTGGTAATTTTAAGAGAACAAAATTTATTTAGTAGAAAAGACAAACAAAGAAACAATTTCGTAACCGTTTTGCTGATATAGGCTAATTTTGTCTCGATATGAATGTTTAAGTGAATAATGTTTTACAACTCAATATGTAAAGTTAGAACAAATATAGAATATTTCACACTTTGGGAAAACATTTGAGGTAAATAGGTTAATTTGCTTTTATATAAAATTTTAAGTCTTTCATATGTTTTTGAGCTTTTAGTTGTATGTCATCTCGTCTTTGAAATTTTTTAAAATGTTCAATCTGTTTTTTCGATCAATTTTTTTCTCGTCATGGATAAATTTTTTGACCAAAATACCTTTCATCAAGATGCATAAAAAAATACGCTTGAATTCATATGACTTGTATGTTTTATTTTTGAAGTCTTTAAAATTTTATTTATTATTATTGTTATTGTTTCATTTCAATCAAGGATATTTCGATCAAAACAAAAATTATAGTCGAAAAAATTGATAGGAATGACGGATTAAATATTTCAAAGACAAATAGAAAACTTAGTGTATTATATAAGGACAAATTAAGTTATTTATCCATAGCATTTGCATGGATTTTTTCTTTTTGATTTTTTGAATTGGAGGTATTTTTTAATAATGTTTTTATATCATAAAACTAAATATCTATCTATACATTAAATCTTAAGTAAACTATTCATACTCGAATTAGAGTTTTTATAAAAATAAAAATAAAAAAGTTTATAACTTTTTTTTTATTCCAACCAACCTCTAGCATTCCACATAAACAAATTAGGGAGTTTTTTTTGCATAACCCTACCGACTAAATGCCAATTCAACACGATTTGAGTTCGAAAACTTAGCAATATGAAAGAAAACAAGAGAGTCATACTTCTATTGAATTTTAACTCATTTAAAATTAAATCTATGAACTTTCAATTTAGTTTTTAAAATCCCTAAACTTTTAATTTTTTAAGATTAATTCTATCTAATGACTTTCAATTATCACTTTCCCTTCTAAAAAATACAATTCATTGTATTTTTAGTTGAAATTTTACTAGCACACATTAGGAAATATTCAATTTATTTTCTAGAAAAATTTCAAAATTTTTCAAAATAAAAAACTTAATTTATTAATTTTTTAAACATTAAAATTATAGAAAATTGAGAAAAATAGAAAATAATCCAAAATTATCCCAAATCTTTTTAGGAGCCCCATATAAATATCGGTGAATGATTTCTATCATGAATATATTCATGTGATTGTTATTTTTTATGAGAAATAATGACCAACTCGAAGAATTGATCGAATATCAAAAACTTAAAAGTTCAAGGATCTTAAAAATAAAATTTGAAGTATAAATACTCAATTTCAAATCACTTAAAGTTCAGAAAATGTTTAATCTATTTAATGGTATTTTTAAGAGAACAAAATTTATTTAGTAGAAAAGACAAATAAAGAAACAATTTCGTAACCGTTTTGCTTGATATAGGCTATTTTTGTCTCGATGTGAATGTTTAATTGAATGATGCTTTACAACTCAATATGTAAAGTTGGAACTAATATAGAATATTTACACTTTGGGGTATCATTTGAGGTAAATAGGTCAATTTGTTTTTATATAAAATTTTGAGTCATTCATATGTTTTTGAGTTATTAATTGTATCTCATCTATCATTAAAATTTTTTAAAATGTTCAATCTATTTTTCTAATTAATTTTTTCTCGTCATGGATAAATTTTTTGACCAAAATATCTTTTAGTAAAATGCATAAAAAATACACTTAAATTCATATGACTTGTAAGTTCTATTTTTGAAGTCTTTAGAATTTTATTTATTTATTATTATTATTTCATTTCAATTAGAAAATTTTTGATAAAAAAAAATTATAGTTGGAAAAAATTGATTGGAATGACAGATTGAACATTTTAAAAATTTTCAAAGATAGATAGAAAACTTGGTGTATTATATAAGGACAAAGTGAGTTATTTATCCATAACATTTGCTTGGATTTTTTCTTTTGATTTCTTACATTCAAGTTATTTTCGAATAATGTGTTTATATCATTAAACTAAATATCTATCTATATGTTAAATCTTAAGTAAACTATTCATACTCGAATTGGAGTGTTTATAAAAATAAAAAAAAGTTCATAACTGATTTTTCGATTCCAACCCAACTTTGGCATCCACATAAACAAATTAGAGAGTTTTTCTTGCACAACCCCACTTGCCAAATGGCAATTTAGCAAGATTTGAGTTTGAAAACTCAACAATATGAAGAGAAAAAAAAAGGTCATACTTCTACTGAATTTTAACTCATTTAAAATTAAATCTATGAACTTTAAATTTAGTTTTTAAAATCCCTAAGCTTTTATTTTTTAAGATTTATTCTATCCGATGACTTTCAATTATCACTTTCCCTTCTAAAAAATACAATTCATGGTATTTTAAGTTGAAATTTCACACATGCATTAGAAAATATTCAATCTATTTTCTAGAAAACTTTAAGAATTTTTCAACATAAAAAACTATATTTGTTTATTTTTTTTACATCAAAATTATAGAAAATAGTCCAAAATGATCCCAAATCTTTTTAAGAGCCTCATATAAATCTCAATGAGTAATTTCTATCATGAATATATTCATGTGATTGTTATTTTTTATTATAAATGACAAAAAACTGAAGAGTTGACTAAATATCAAAAACTTAAAAGTTCATGAATCCTAAAATCAAATTTGAAGTACAAATACTCAATTTCAAATGATTAAAGTTCAGATATTTAGTGATATTTTTAAGAGAACAAATTTTATTTAGTAGAAAAGTTAAACAAAGAAACAATTTCGTAACCGTTTTGCTGATATGAGTTATTTTTGTCTTGATATGAATGTCTAATTGAATAATTTTTTACAACTCAATATGTAAAGTTAGAACCAATATACATTATTTCACACTTTGGGATATCATTTGAGGTAAATAGGTCAATTTGTTTTTATACAAAATTTTAGGTCTTTCATATGTTTATGAGTTTTTAATTGTATTTCATCCGTCTTTGAAATTTTTTAAAATGTTCAATTTTTTTTTTGATCAATTTTTTCTGTCATGAATAAATTTTTTGACCAAAATATATTTTACTAAAATGCATAAGAAAAATACACTTGAAGTCATATGATTTGTATGTTCCATTTTTTAAGTCTTTAGAATTTTATTTATTTATTATTATTATTATTTCATTTCGATCAAGTATATTTTGATCGGAAAAATTATAGTCGAAAAAAAGGATTGGAATGACATATTGAACATTTTAAAAATTTTCGAGAGATAGATAGAAAACTCGAGTGTATGATATAAGGAAAAATTAAGTGATTTATCCATAGCATTTGAATGGATTTTTTATTTTGATTTTTTACATTCAAATTATTTTTTAATAATTTTTTATATCATAAAATTAAATATCAATCTATATATTAAATCTTAAGTTATTTTCTTTTGATTTTTTACATTCAAGTTGTTTTTACTCAACTTGGAGTGTTTATAAAAATAAAAAAGTTCATAACTTATTTTTCGATTCCA